AACTCAAAATTTGAATTTCAAATGATGAAAATAATTTCCAAAATTATTTGAACTCTTTAGGTAAACATTAAGGTGGCATTGACTCCTCATTCATGGGGACAAACAAGGGTGGTCGGAAGGAGGGGGACGGTGAAGATGATGAAAATAACGACGAGGAGAAATAAGAGGGAACAAACAAAAGACAAGAGACAAAAAAAAAACTAAAGATACAACCGCGAGCCCGGACACATCCTGCGGCTGACGGTACTACGTTGCCCTTCTCCAAGGGACTTCACGCCACGAGCCCGGACCCATCCTGCGGGCTGCGGCTGGTGGAAACTCCGACTCCCTTCCATAGGGATTTCACTAAAGTTCTTCCCAAAGAATACAAGTGCAAAACACCAATTTTATTATAATTCCATCATACCTAATACAAGAGAAGGGGCCTCTATATATAGGCCTCAAAAGAAATTAAAAGACACATTTGCCCCTTGGGCTTACATAAGACAAGAGCGTAAAAAAGGGAAATTGCAAAACTAAATTAAAATACACTTAATAAACGAAAATAAAACAAAGTGATCTCGATCGTCGATCTTCAGCTCCTCGGATTGGCATGGACGGTTGGATGTCCGCATCAATCGGCTACCCCAACTCAAATCCTGTCCATGTTTAGAGCTGGCCTTAGGGAAGATCTTTGAATTGAACTTTTTGCTAGAGGAGTAGACTCGTTAGAAGCAGCCTGCAGTCTAGTTCTCGACCTCGAGGAGTCTAAGACCCATTCCCAAACAAAGCATTTTGACTCCCGCTCAACTTCTTATAGGACCTCATCTGGACAACCCCAAAACTGACCCTCGGGTTCTACGGCGAGCCGACCCACTGCTAGTTCGGCCCCACCTCGCACATACCTTAAAGGTAAAGCCCCCGAACGTGACACTTCCAAAACCACTTCAGGAACCAAGTGTTATAGGTGTCATGGGTATGGGCGCATTGCTTCGCAATATTCTAGCCCCTACAAGGTCACCATAATTGAAGAAGTGGATGAAGACGAGGACAAACCTAAAACTGATCTAATTCACCATGTTGATGAGGAAGAAGATTCCTTCACTGAGGACGAACCTGTTACCTTACAAGTTGTTAGATGTCCATTGTCCCAACCAAAGCCAAGTGATGATTGACGAAGGACCTCCATTTTTCATACCTTTATTAAGATTGGAGAAAAGATCTGCAAAGTTATCGTCGACAGTGGAAGTTGTATCAATGCAGTCTCTTCGGCTATAATTTTCAAACTTAACCTCAAAATTATCCCTCACCCAAACCCGTATAAGGTCTCTTGGATTAACTCGACTACCATAGAAATTAAAGATCGGAGCCTTATTCCTATAGAATTTGTGGGATATTAGGAAAAGATTTGGTGTGATGTTTTGACTATGGACGTATGTCAAATTATCCTTAGTCGCCCATGGTTATTTGATAACGACGTTCATATTTATGTGAGGACGAACACCTGTGTGTTCGAGCATAACGGGAAGAAAATCAAGTTAATACCTTCACAACCCAAACCCCCTAAGACGGAAGCCAAGCCTACCCGACCAAACAAAACAAAGGGCTACACCTCCTGACTGCAAAGGAAGTAGAAGATGAGATCAACCAAGGAACCACCATGTACGCCCTAGTGGCTCGGGAAACCAATGAAGAAGTAGGTGAACCCATTCCTGAAGAGGTCCGCCCACTCCTTAAAACCTTTTCTGATGTTTTCCCTGAAGATTTACCTAACCAACTGCCCCCTCTGCGTGACATACAACACGCGATAGACTTGGTACCTAGAGCATCTCTACCCAACCTTCCTCACTACCGTATGAACCCCACTGAGCATTCTAAACTGAAGAAACAAATAGATGAACTCCTACAACAAGGATTCATCAAAGAGAGCCTTAGCCCGTGTGCTGTTCCTGTACTTCTGACTCCCAAGAAGGATGGCTCATGGCGAATATGTGTTGATAGCCGCGTTATCAATAAGATTAATGTCAAATATAGGTTCCCCATTCCCCATTCTACATGACATGTTGGACATGATGACCGGAGCAACCCTCTTTTCCAAGATAGATCTTAAGAGTGGTTACCATCAGATTAGAATCCGTCCAGGAGACGAGTGAAAAACTGCATTCAAAATGAAAGATGGACTTTATGAGTGGACTGTTATGCCTTTTGGTCTGAGTAACTCCCCAAGTACCTTTATGAGAGTCATGACTCAAGTCCTCAGATCCTTTCTAGGAAAATTCGTAGTAGTTTACTTTGATGACATTTTAATATATAGTACTTTGATGGATCAACATCTCAATCATATAACACAAGTTTGTGAAGTTTTGAGGAAAGAACAGCTGTTTGCTAATCCCGCCAAATGTAAATTCCTCACCGATAGTGTGACCATCCTTGGATTCATCATATCAACTCAAGGAATATCTGCGGACCCAGAAAAGGTGCGAGCTATAAATGAGTGGCCAGAACCCAAGAACATTAGGGATGTTAGAAGTTTTCATGGATTGGCTACATTTTATCGGAGGTTTATTCGAAATTTTAGCACCATCGTAGCACCAATAACGGACTGTCTTAAGAAAGGGGAATTTCAGTGGACGATAGCCGCCACTAAGGCTTTCGAGGATATTAAGAGGAAAATGGTAGAAGCCCTTGTTATGCGTCTCCCTGATTTTTCTAAAGTTTTTGAAGTAACTTGCGACGCATCAAGTATTGGAATAGGAGTCTTGTCACAAGAAGGACATCCTGTGGTATACTTTAGCGAGAAGTTAAATGACATTCGTCAAAGGTACTCTACCTACGACAAGGAATTCTATACAATCATTTAGTCCCTTAGATACTGGAGACACTACTTGCTCCCCTAGGAATTTGTGATATTCTCGGATCATGAAGCTTTTTGATACATTAACTCACAAAAGAAGTTGAATGCCCGTCATGGTCGTTGGGTCGAATTCCTCCAAGAATACTCTTACACTATTAGACATAAGGCCAGAGCTGAGAATAAAGCAGTTGATGCGTTAAGTCGTAGGATAATGGTCACTAGAGAGATGAGAACGGAGGTTGTTGGATTCAAATGCATCAAAGAAGACTATAAGGAATGCCCTGATTTTAAAGAAATATCTTCATCACTAACGACTAGAAATAAACAAATAGTGGATGATTTCTTGTTGGAAGACAATTATTTATTTAAGTCTCAAAAGTTGTGCATTCCCAACACTTCACTCTGTGAATTCCTCGTTTGGGAGCTACACACGGGAGGCTTAGCTGGACATTTTGGGCAGGCTAAGACCATTGCAGCATTTGAATATACATTTTTCTGGCCCAGCCTTAAGCGGGATGTTAGTATATTGAGCAAACGTTGTCATACCTGCTAACTAGCTAAACAAAGGAAGCAGAACACCGGCCTCTACACTTCACTTCCCGTCCCAAACTGCCCGTGGCAAGATGTTAGTATGGACTTTGTTTTAGGGCTACCCAAAACTGTTAGGAAGCAAGATTCCGTCTGTGTAGTAGTAGATCGCTTTTCTAAGATGGCTCACTTCCTCCAATGTGCCAAAACGTTTGATGCCTCTAAGATTGCCAAGTTATACTTTGATGAGATTGTCCGACTTCATGGACTCCCAAAAACAATCGTGTCGGATCAAGATTTCAGATTTGTTGCCACCGTGATTTATTCTCTAGAGGGCCCACTTAATTAATATTAATTGCTCTCTCTCAAATACTCATGGACGGCCCCTTAATTAGCTCTCCTCTCTCTCCAAATTAAATTAAATGCTCCCCTGAATCAGCCCCCAAATCCCTCCCTTTTGCCGTCCATCTCCTCCCCTTGGATTGATTTGAATTTTCAAATCAAATCCCTCTCCTAACCACTTAAAATCTGAAATTATTTCATATTTCCTGCAATTAACTATTGCTCTCCCATCCTAGCCGACCCCTCAATACTTCTTGCCGACCACACCTCTTCTTCTCCTCTTTGTGTTGTTGAGCTCCACCAAGAGAAGACTATTCTACCACCAAACTCATCCGCAAAGCATCTCATAGTCATGAATGGCGGATCCTGAGCTTAAAGGCGGACTCGTATTCGATAGCTACGGAAACATCCACGTTCTCCGATCTCTCTTCTTTGACGTGGGATTTGACCACGATGACGACACAGTTGGAGACTACTTGGATCGAATCCTCCCCACCCTTGTGCACGTCATCGACGGACAATTTGCAGACTACGAGTGGATTATTGAAGGTAATCATTCCTTGCCACCTCCACATCCTACGCCTCCCTCTACACCTCTACGGATCGCCGGTGTCCTCTACCTCGGAGTGATCTCGTTTCTTGTGTAGTTCTTCTTCCTCCAACAACCATAGACGTAGAAGAGTGATTTTAAGCCTCAAGGTGAGACAATCGCTTTGTTAACCGCCGGTATATATATATTACTCTTTATGCTTCTTTTTGGGTGATTACATGCATCCCTCAACTTTCAGGCAGAAGAAAACTGCATTCACTTTATGTGGATCTAAGATTAGAAAATTAAGTGTTTAAGAAGATTTCATGCAGGCCTTCATTCAAATGACCAATATAATATCTTCTGAAATTTAAAGGAATCAATGATAAATATCAATAGTGGCTTAATCATTATATGTTCCAAACTTGAAGGAACTAGATTTGCTTTCCACCCCCTCTCCTTTTTTACTTTAGAGAGAAAAAGAACGGAAGCCTCATTCAATTTACTTCAACTCTCTTTGTTCCATTCTCATCTCCAAGCAAATACTACTTGATTCAATCGCAAATTTGAATCTCCAAATTTCTCGAGCTAATATATCCAACAAACGCTGCATAGTCTGCCTTGCATAGATTTTATGGTTTTACACTTCAGATAAATGCCAAAAAGTGAATACCAAGCTTGCATGTCCTTAATTTCATGATTAAAACACGGCACTAAAAGTAGTGAGCCAAATAAGGTAAAATAAGGAGAAGTTGATAAAGCATGTACCTATGTTTGGGTCCTGGAAAAGCTTCTGGAGAGCTGCAATATGTCCATCCGCTAGATCCACAACGTGAATATAGTCACGAACCTGGACTAATGGCCAAAATAGAAGTTACATATAATAGACAACATTACCATATATTAAACACTATAATACAGTTGGACAGTAAAGAAAATATTGTACGAACAATACATATGCTGAAAGGAAAGTTTTTGAACACAACATAAATTGATCAATTATCACAATCATCTCAGCTTGTAAAGTAGTTGGTAATGGGGAAATCAAGCATTCCACAGTAATTAAAAGCTTGAATCAACAAGGAAAAAAAAGAGATTTTTTTCGACCAATATGATATATATAAAGTCAATGAATCATAAAATTGAACATTGTCAGGTAATGTTAATACTGTTCGAGTAATGACTAATCCCAGATAATGCTGAGCTTCCTCTTACTTCCTCCGCCATGTTGTTCCTGCAGCATTTTACTTTGGCAACGGACTCTTCCTGCCTGGCTACTAATTGCAGTGGATTGCTCTAAGGCCCTAAGGTTCTTCCGTTCTTACATGATAAACAGATCCAACAAGCATGCTTCCTTCTGTTTTTGCATTAATCTACGATGGCTTTCAACAGCTTCTATGGCGGGTCATCATTGGCTGGGCTGGCGGTGTTCACTTTCTAATTTCCAGAATATGACTTTTCTTTGCTTAGTTCATGGTTTAGGAATTCCAAAGGGTTTTTTATTAATTATAAATACAGATCTTAGCATTTGCATAGAACTCAATCAAGTATGCTGATGTAGTAAAGTACAAACATGAAAACTGCATTGAATTTTATTGCTTGCTTTGTCTAAGTTGGGCTCCTCCAAGCATATTATATATGAAAAAAAGTAAATGGTATTTACACAATAAATAAATAATTCAAAAAAGGGGGCAGGCGGCTAGGTGAAGGAGGAGGAGCACATAAATTACAATCCATCCATGGATCATAATATGATTTTTTGTATAGTAGGCCCCACGACACCTCTAGAGTGGAATTCACTAAGGATAAGTGGGGTGGGTTCCACACTGTGGAACCCCACAATCTTCAACACTACTCTTCAAACTGGAGGGTAAAAATCTACCATTCTAAGTTTACTTACAAAATTCTTGAACGCGAAGTTGTTGAGTCATTTGGTGAATTTAATGGCAAGTTAATTTTATGTTAGTACATTACTTGATTTTTAAATCTTCCATGATGATTTTAACAGATTTAAGTTTGCATATTCCTTGGAAAATTGCTCTAAATTTGGATTCAGAGCTAGATCTTGAAACAACCAGTTATTTTTTGTTCCTCAATGTTATGAAATTTCCTCTAAAAAATATACAATATATTGAAATGGATCTTTAATCCACGTGTGATCCAGCATAGTTTGCATCAATATAATAAACTCCAATTTGTAGAGTATCCTACTTTTTGTAGAGAATTCCTTTTCTGAAACTTGATTTATAGTTTTATGCATGAATTGATCGATAAGATTTTTTGTAAAAATAATGTCTAGAAAGGTGTGAGATAGATTAATTTTTCAACTAATCTTTGATATTATCCCATATCTACTTCTACTCTTTCTTCATTTTAGCCCAATTTCTGACATACTTAAGTTGAGATTTTACAATTTTTTTAATCAAACATTTTTGTCTCTTTTAGTAGGTCAATGATATATTTTTTTTTAGAGAAGAACATTCCTTGTCCTTAATAAGCAATTGTTATCCCCAAGTAGTATTTGAGTTTTCCCAACTTCTTGATCTTAAAGTTTTAAGTAAGATTTCTTCTGAGTGACTCCTTTTATTTATTGCCAGAACATCTAATTATTATTTTATCATCAATATATACAATGAGAAATAAAATCTTACCAACAATTGACTGTTTTATGAAGATTTATCATAGGATACACAATTGGTTCTGACCTAAAATAACCCTCAATTTTTCTCAACTAGGCTTGGGATGAGCAATGACGGTTTCAAACCCAAAAAAAAAAGTGTTTTAGTACCTATAACATTAACGAAGTAGATATTTCAATTTTGAAAATTGGAAGGCATCATATATTCTGAAGCATAGGCTCAACAAAGATGCTAGTTTATATTGGCATGTTTAGAGATACATCGATGGAAAAGCACGGGAATTCTATTATATTGTCCAGTTCGGGCATTCTTTTTTGGTGGATAGTAAAAAAATTATGATTTATGGTTTAGGGACGCTCAAAGAATACCAAAGTGAAACAAACACAGTTAAGCTCCAATTGCTCTAACTTGGATGCTTTCATTTTCTGTAGATAAAAATTAAAAAAAAAAGGAATTGCCCAGACTATAGTAAATTCCTTTGATGATAATGAAATGATTTCAATTGAACTTGCATAATTAACAGAATAAACGTCAATAACATAAGCATTTGGCAACAGAATAAAAGAATGGGATGAGTAGGGGAAAAGTGTGAAAGTGCTTGCAGCATTGATCGAGAACCTATAAAACAAAAAATACAAGAACTTTTATAGTGCAACTTAACACACATATAATGGTCCTATCACAAATAATCACTAGTGGCAGAAAATTAATAAAAAAATAGCCATAGGAATAGTAGATGAACATTCTCAATGTGCAACTTTCAAGGGCAAGAAATTGTTAGATAAACATTCTCAATGTGCAACTTTCAAGGGCAAGAAATTGTTAGACCGGTCCAGCCGGTCCACGCAGGACCGGCCCAAACACGAATGGGGCAAAATGCCTCCGCCTCTGGTTTTTGCCACATGCACCGTAGGAGCTGATGGAGCTTTTTAGGAAGGATTTTTTAGGGATTTGGGAGGGAAATTTGAATGTATGAACAGTTTAGGGATTTCCTTTTGATTTGTATGTATTAAAGACTTTGTTTTCATGGGGTTAGCGCATCTTGAATTTGGCTAAAATTTGAGATCTCTTAGATTTAGGTTTCCTTTGGGCTCTAGCGGCGTCTAGAGATTTGGGAAAGATCGATCCTCTTCTCGAATAGAGGATCAAGTGTATCTTACTATTTTCCGTTTCGCTTTCATCAAGTAATACAAATTATCTACTGTTTTTTGTGATTTTGTGCGGATTTTTTGAAGAATCCTCACTGTTTTTAGAAGATTGATAGGAAATACTTGCGATCAGAAATCAACCATAATACTTAACGTAGGAAACAACAAGCATAGCGTTCAATCTGGAACTACAATTTGAAACTAGTAAAAAACACGGAATAAATTTTACCCAAGAAATTAAGAATATAACCGGCTAGAATCAGATTTGATCAAAATGATTACCCCAGTTCCATCATTGGTATTGTAATCAGTTCCAAATACAGTAAGAGATGGTCTCCTCCCTACAGCAACCTGTTGTATATATGGCATAAGGTTGTTTGGAATTCCATGGGGATCTTCACCAATGTGTCCGCTGGGATGAGCTCCAATAGGATTGAAATATCTTAACAACATTATCTTCCAGTCAGAGCTGGCCTTTCGTATGTCACGACATATGTCTTCAATAATGAGCTGCAGTGATCCCATCATGTTACTGGAGGGATAGGCATGCTTAGTAATGAAAAAAATTAATATGGACTAGACAAAAACCTTCGTTCGTCCATAAGGATTTGCTGCAATAAGAGGAAATTCTTCAGTACAGGGAACTTGTATTGGCCATCCATACACGGTAGCCGATGATGAAAAAACAAGCTGGAGCAATAATCATGCAAAGAATTGATTAGAGTTTTCTAATAGTAACATCTAAGACCAAGGAGAGATAAATAAACTTTCACAAGTCATGCCAATTTATGTAGTGATGCTACACTTCCAAGAAGATTCCCATTTAAAATAGGGGGGGCTATATCAGCGGTCATGAACTAATACCATAAAAAAGTGCAATGAACTCTCCAAGCCTTTTTTTAATATATATATATATATAAGATGTTTAATTCAAATATAGTATGTTTTACATAGATATAAGATCTTTCATCTATATATAAAAGGTTAATTAAATACAGTATCTTTGACTAAAATATAAGCTTTTATTAGGTATAACATTTGTAAGTCAAACATAAATTATATAAGCTATACCAATAAGATTATATCATTTAGTGGATTAAAAGCTTTTCCACTAGCACCACTAAATGTGAACTTGAGAAATTTAATGGGATCAATGAATTCAGCAATTAAACAAATGAAGAAGTGCTTCCACTACCAAAGAACTCATTATTCCACCAAAAAGATCAGCATCAAAGGAGCAAGTGAGTTGCTCCTTTAAAAAGAACAAGGGGTACCCTAAGTCCATCATAAAACATGTTTAGTATAGCAAACGCCCAATCTATCAACCAATACCAAACCTCTATTATTTGTGGTGAAACAAACAAATCTTGCAATTAATTGCAAGAGCGAAATTTCAAATGATGTAGCACAAGGATACACCGGAACCTGATGCTTGAGGGAAAATCGAAGAAGGACAGTTGTTCGGCTAACCTTTTGTGACCGGGGAAAACAGCTTACAGTAGTTCTAATGACTTGGAAGAAGGATAGTAGTTGTACAAATGTTCTTGCGGCTTACAGCAGTTTTGATAGCCTGGAAGAAGATGGACAGCAGCTGGACAATTGTTCTTGTGGCTTACAACAGTTCTGATGACCTAGAAGAAGGACAGCAGCTGAACAAAACCCAGTCGATTCCTGCGGGTTTTGAAGGTGGCTGATAGAAGCTGGACATCCACGTTGGAGGTTCTGGAAGGGGAGACAGCAACAGTTTGTAGTATGCGGTTTTTGGTGGAAGAGGGCTGGATGACAGGAAGAAAACCAGGATGATTTTTAGCGGAGGTAGAATGGGCGCATTGTCAGCTGCGGTGGCGGAAGAGGAGAGGAGAGGGGTGGCCACTACCTAGATTCATTCCAGGATACAGAAAATCCAAATTCTAGGATATTATTTCTCAACCAAAAAACTGAGATACAATAGAGAGAGGAAACTTGATAGGAAATGGATGGAATTTCATCAACATTAGATCACGACACAAAAAATTTAAGAAAAAAATACAAAAGAACACTTTTCTTGTTGAAAAAACTAAGAAGAAAAATATAAGATACAATTGGACCTTCAATTGAAGAGGAAGATCTGAATCTCTCAAATCCCTAGCCGTCACCTAGAGCCCACTCGACATAAATAAAACTAATTCCAGCAAAATCGAGCATCCTATAAAATCACTCATAATTAGCCTTAAATAGGCTTCCCTAATTCTATCCCAAATTAGTCTTCTTTCCCTAAATAATTTCCTCTCAGATTTGAATTCAAATTAAATAAATTTTCTAATTAATTCCCACCCAATTTTAATTAAAATTTTCCTATATAATTTTCCCTTAATTCTTCCTCACATAATTAAAACTTTCCATAATTAATTCCTTCCTAATTATAATTAAAAATTTACTAAACAATTCCCTATCTTTTCTTACCCGTGCCCACCCTTGTGGGGCCCACCGACTCGGTCACTGGTCCATCAATACTCCCCTATAGAAGAGCCACCTTGTCCTCAAGAGGAAATGAAGAAAATTGTTATCGAAGCACTGGATTAATAATAGCGGACTAGAAAATGGACTGATACTGGGTTGAACGATCTCTACCTCGAGTATGTCCTTGATTAATCTCTCAATCTCTTCACTTTGAATTTAGGGATGATGATATAGACGAGCATTAGTAGGTGAGACTCTTTCCTATAAGATGATAGCATGCTCGCATTCCCGAGGAGGAGGCAACCCTTGAACTGGTTGGAACACCTCTTGATACAGCTATAGGGGTGGTTGAATCATGTCTGGTACTTCTATCTTCTCCCATCTTTTTCTCCTTCTAAACTCTACAGTTCCACCAAAAATCTCACTCCTTAACCCTTTCCCTTCCTTGGAAGTCGCTCCAAAAATGGCTTCTTCTATTTTTTCCCCAACATTTCTACCTCCTGATCTTCCCTACTCCTTATTGGATTAGAGTTTCCTCCACTCCCCTAGCCGCGCGGCGAAGAGAAGAATAAGAGGTGGAGATCTTGGAGGAAGTAGAGAGAAGACCTCCTCTAGAGCCTACTCCTAAAGAAAATATCGATAGAAGTTATGGGGAGAGGCATAAAGGGATTGGGCATGATCGAAGGGGTGCTGAATTTGAAATGAGATTAACTGAATTTGAAATGAGAGGCGTTGATTATGATCCAAGAGGTGCAGAATTTAAAATGAAAGAGGCTGAATTTGAAAGGAAAGAGGCTGATTATGATCGAATGGGTGTTGAATTTGAAATGAGAAGGTAAAAGTTTGACAAAGGGTTTGGGTGAGAGGATAGAAGGGATGATTAGGATACTTGAGGGGAACCACACTCTTAGGGAATGAGAATTTATGGAGAAAATAGGGGGAATAGAGGAGATATGGGAGTGAGAAAGTTGAAAATGTCTATTTTTGAGGGAGAGAATGCACATACGTGGATCTACAAGATGGAAACATACTATACCGTCAATAAGTTGACAGGGAAAGAGAAATTGGTGGTGGTTGGGATATGCTTGAAGGGGAAAGCATTGGCATGATACCAGTGGAGGGATACAAGGTGGCCTATATGGACTTGGAGGAACTTCAAGGATTGCTTGTTAGAATATTTTTGAAATAGAAGTGGAAGAAACTGCTATGAACAGATCTTCGCTCTAACGCAGGAGAGGGCAGTGGTGGAGCATCGTGAGTAGTTTGAGCACCTGGTCAGCCGACCGACTGGCTTCCAGAGATTGTATTGGAGGAAAATTTTATGAAATGGCTCAAATTAGATATTCGAGCGGCAGTTAGAGTGATGAGGCCTCATGACTTGGGAGAGGTTATGAAGCTAGCCCAGTTTGTGGATGATCAGAGGCACCTAGAAAAAGGGGCTAAAGGCAGCAGCTTGGGAGATTAGTATAGTATGATCACCATCTTTTTGACATTCAAGGAGTCGATAATGGGTATTCTTAGAGAGACCTTGAAGGAGATGACTTTAGGAGAGAGACCTGGGGGAAACTTCAAGAAGCTCACAGAAACAGAGTTTTAGAAAAAGAGGGCTAATGGGCTTTGTTTCAACTGTGAAAGATATACGTACATCGGGGCACAGGTGTAAGGATTAAGCTCTTTAGATTCTCAACATTTGTGATAACGAGGAAATTGAGGTGTTACCCAGTAACTTCAACCAACACTCCTAATAAAGGAGAGAAAGCCATATGACTATATGAGATAATAAAATAGTATTTTTCATTTTTTTACTTTGAGAATAATGAGGGACTTTTGGAGGGGAGTATTGATGGACCGGTGACTGAGCCAGTGGGCTTCACTACAGCGAGCGGTGAGCAAAAGAAGAGAGGGGATTATTAAGAAAATTTTTAATTACAATTGGGAGTGAATTAATTAGGGAAAGAAATCTAATTTTAATTTAAAATCTGAGAGGGAATTATTTAGGGAAAACCCAGGGGAATTAATATTCATTATGTAAGGGGGAATCAAAGTGGAATTGTTTGGGAATGTATTAATTATATTTGGGAGGGAATTAATTATTAAAAAAAATCAAATTTGAATTCAAGTATGATAGGGAATTATTTAAAGAAATGGTGTTGATTTTGGAGGAAATAAGGGGAGCCTATTTAAAGCTAACTATGGGGTGATTTCAGATTATGCTTTATTTTGATGGAATCATTTTTGCTTTAGGTTGAGTGGGCTATAGCCGATGGCTAGGGATTTAGGCGAGTCGGATATTCCTCTCCAATTGAAGATCCAACTGTATCTTATGTTTTTCTTCTTAGTTCTTTCAAAAAAAAAAAGTTCTTATATGTTCTTCCTAAATATCTTGTGTCGTTTTGTAGTTTTGCTGAAATATCATCTACGTCCTATCACAAGACTAACACAAAGGTTGTCTTTCTTAACTCTCCAAAGTCCAAACTAAGAGTCTACGCCCACAGGAGAAGAGGTTCCATAACTTGTTTGATGTATTGTGCAATTTGTCAACTCTAACAATAAGTGACTGCAATCTACTTAAAACTTGAGACAGAAAGCATCATTTAATTGAAGACATTAGTACTTGTATGTACTCAGCAAGCTCTGGTTTTAAGTCCTATCCATAGAAGTAAAATGTACATCTCCAATGCAAAGAAATTTAATCGTTTAACAACAGAAGAACAAACTTGGCAAAAAATAGTGACTTATCTTAGCAATGGAAACACACGAATCAAAGAAAGAAGGCATGATAAGTCATGACACTAGGTGCTGAGTCAGCTGACATAACTAATTATTTGTTGGTCTTGAAACATGACCCATATCAAGCAAAATATTACTTACACTTTTGCAGCCATGTGCAGCCATGACTTCTAGCAGAGTTATTGTACCAATAAGATTGTTGTCATAGTAACTCAACGGCTTCTGCACACTTTCTCCCACCGCCTTCAACCCGGCAAAATGAATAACAGCATCAAACCTGCACAGCATAGTTTGAAAAACAAGAATATCAATATATAAAATGTGCTAATTGGAAGAATATTACTATTTAGATAAAAAATATGCGCGTTACAATAGCAGACAGAAACTACGCGATAAACAAGAAGTTAATGTGCATAAGCAAAACTTCTACCTCAACAGAAGGAAGCAATCTTTTAGCAATTAACTAACAAAAATAAAATTCCTCGGGAAAGGAAGCAGTCTAAAACTCCTCCGAAAGGAGAGATTATTCTGTGCCGACAACGGACACAGTTTACTGTCCAGAGACGAATCAGGTGCAGCCACGTCATCCAGTACCGAGCAGTATCGAGCTCGTTTTCGGGCAGCACCGAACCGCGGTACCGAATAGGGGGTGACGTGACACATTTTCATTAGGCTCTGGATGAAATTCTGCGTCCGCCCAGAACAATTCATCCTTTGGAAGACAGAGGCGCAGCAACTGTAGATCACGTCAAAGTCTTCAAAGGCCATGCAACACGCCAAAAAAATTGTATGGCAGTGGAACTAGTAAAAGAAAAACAGCAACAATTGCCCCAAAGGGAAAAAAAAAAAGAGGGAACTTTGCACACAACTTCTGTAGAACTGGTCAAAAAATCCATTAGAAGTGACAAAATATCAGTAAAAAGATCACTCATAACCATGCTTGACGACCTAGACAAAATAATGAAGGTGAATAGCTTGTGAGATAAGGCAAATAACATTGTTAAACAAACAATAATTTATATTTTATTTATTTGGGTTTGCGTTACCTCGTTGAAGCAAAAATCTTGTTTAACGCCTCTCTATCACGAAGATCAGCCTAGAAAACCAAAATTATGTTTTAGTACATGGAATATATTAAAGGCAGAAGACTGCAAAATAACACCTCCTAAAGGAATCAGAAGACTGCCCAGCACTTATCACAAAATTACGCCAATAAACAAGCTATTGTCTAAAACAACCAACAATGTAATAGTAAACGATACCTTAAGCAAACTCAATATGCAGATTAAACTTCACGGTAAGGTCACCTTTGGTTGCTAGAGGAGCAAGGAAAAGAGCACTCTTTTTTATTATTAAAAAGGTGTACTGTCCGATTGTTGTGAGTGTGCAATTACTATTCACAATTAAGCTTTTACTGTGCACACTCAAAAAAATCGGATGCATCTTAGATCCAGACTCCACATGTAATAATCTCTTCTTTACTAGAAGTGTTGGTTGAAGTTAGTGGGTAGGATTTGAGTCTAATATGAAATTTACCTAACCCCGAGAACGAGAAACCGACCCATTTATAATGACGATCAAAATGTCTGAACCAAAAATTACTTGACTGGAATTTGACTAAACCAAATCCAACATATTAATTAATAAGTTTATCATATATATTCCATAGTTTTTTAAAATCAATACTACTAATTTAACACATAATTGACCCAGTTAACACTGAGCCTAGCCCTTTTTACCCAAACACAAATGAAAATTGGGTCAAAATTTTCTACCCATACACGACCCAAAAATTAATCGGGCAACCGAAGCATGAATTTTTTGAGTTTGGTCTAAGTCAAATCATTTATTGACACCCCTAATTATTATTAGAAATTTTTTAGAATAGATATGAAAAAAAAAAAACACCATAAAAAGACAAGCTGAGAATATCCCTCGTAAAAGTTGCATCATTTTCATAGCTAAACCTGCAGCAGGGACAATAGGAAGTAGTAAATTTGAGAACTTGCATGAGAAATTCTCGGTGAGTTTTCTACTTACACAACTCTCCTTGGCCTATTGGTTGAGAGCTTAGGCTTCCAATTAAAAGGTCCAAGGTTCGAGTCCATGTGTATGCGTTGTGTGTGTGAGTTTGCCTTAAATGGCCTAAATGTCCCAAAAAAAAAAAGTTTTCTACTTATCTTCTGTTTTTTTTTTTTCTTCCAGTAGCAACAGTTTATTAGCTATTAGAGGTTTGCGTTAGGTCCCAACTGATTCCCAAGATAGAGAAGCAAAACGTATATAATTAAAAAAAAAAAAGAAAAAAGATGACGAATTTAAATGATTTTGAAATAATTTGCGTTCAAACCATTTTTTTTAATAACAATAATAATAATATAAAAAGAAGAGTATATTGTACACTGACACAAAAGTCAAAAATAACAACCAGTGGGAAAAAGTTGTTGAAGGAACTTTTTAATTATGACCAAATTTTTTAGTAAAAAATCCAATAGGCATTTCTGCACCGGAGCCAACTTAACGTCAATCACAACAGATTAATGGAGGATTAAGGGCATCTCCTCGCTAACTATAAATAGAAACTTTTTTTTTTGTTTTATCTCGGTTATGAACAATGTGACGTCAATATTGGCTCGCGCTATTCACCCGAACGACAACGGAACGTCATTCTCACTATTGTCATACTTCATTGATGAGAAAGAATATAAATAGAATATTTTTTTGATGTTAGAAATGGAGTTCCCTTGAAGATGAATTAATATTTGATATAATTGTTACGGAAGTTTTGAAATAAAAATATATATATTTTCCGTTGGAGATATCCTAAGTCACGAAATGAATACACCAAAAAAGTTTATATATGTAATTTTATCATTAAATTTGATCTCTATAATACATTGTCAATCTGAAATCTTTGCAATAAAACTCACTCAAAATACCAAAGAAAGTAACAAATTACACTAAAAAAATACATAAAAGAATAAAACTAATATTAGAATCAAAGATAATCAATAATTCTAAATAGTAAATAAAAGAATCATTGCAGCAAAATTATGTGAAAAAATATAGATATTGTTAAAACATATTTTGAAATTTGAATGGAACATGTACGATAATGATGGACTTTGTATTTACCCAATTTGTTCTGTGTTGAAGTTGAAGATTTGGGCAGGTAAAACATTATTCTAAATAAAATTGATATCACTTTAAGGAAAAGCGTAAATTTCGAATGGAAAGAAGAGTCATTCCAAGCTATTTCCACTTCGTAGCAGGTGGGAATCGCAGGAACGTCTCTTTACGATGACAAGGATTCCAACCTTTTCCGCCAAAGAATCGAATATAACACATCACTCAAATGCACATATATATTAAATCCTTGATCAAAATACCTGAAACAACAAAACTAAAACCGCAACGCAAAAAATGGATAGAATCTTCCTAGTGCATCAGAACACCTTCAGCCAAATGCACCCAGCTAAAAAAACAAAACCCTAATTTTCCACCGAACTTGTAAACTGGGAATTCGCAAAGGAAATAAAATCAAAATAAGTTCAAGAAGAAAATTGAAAACTTCGTGGCGGGCGACATTTTAATCAATTCAAAATCGTGAAGCCATACTACCTGATGAAATACTAGGTTTTTTCCAGCGTCGCCAGCAAGCTCCTCAACCCTCCTGACGGCGACTTCAGAGGAGTTGTCTAGGTTATCTACGACAACCACGCTGAACCCTTCCTGGAGAAGCTGCAGCACCGTGTGGCTCCCAATATATCCCGCCCCTCCCGTCACCAAAATAGTCTTCGTCCCCATGGAAGCGATCGGAAAGAACTCCAAAGATGAAGAAGAACGGCACAAGAGGAACAACAGAGCAGAGGAAGGCAGAGCAACGAAACTTCAGTCTTTAATAACGGAAGAAGAACGATGGAGTTTAAATAGCCAGGATGAGGTTATTCGTACCCGCCGGGCCGAATGGTTGAACCAATAGCACAGCTCCGTCCGATCTAAAAATTTAAAAAAAAAATCAAGATTTTCTTTTTTTCATTAAAATATTATTTAAGAGTAATTTAAATGGTCGTTGTGCATGTACAACTCCAACGCCCATAGTAATTGTAGATGAAGAAATTTGAGCTATCCTGATCAAAAAATTAATTAGAATAAAAATTTTAGTTATTGAATCTAGTTTATAATGTTTATAATTAATTAACAAAATTTTATATTATGCTAACATTAATATAATTATAATAATTTAAACTCATGTTTTTTTTTTCATTGTTGATTCATTGTGCTTTGGATGCATAATTTTCATTGAGAATCTCCATAGTGATTGATTTGTACTAGAAAATTATTATATCCATCAACTTTAAAAAAGTTAGTTTATCCGTAATATAATTTTACAATCATATTTATAATAAGCTGGAACTGTCCTAAACAAACCCTTAATGTAAAAGAACATGTGGCACTCATAGTTGGAAATAAGCGGCCTTATGCTCGTTGGATTCTTCTCATCAACATGCTCGTTTTGACTATAAACATATAAGAATGAAATTTTGTTAATTTGAACTCTCAAATAATATTAAAGTTTATAATTGCTGCAGGCTAAAATATACATGGCAATAGAGTTAGATTTTCTTGTCTTAGTGTTGTACGGATATCCAGCACACAAATATACAAAAAAGTAAACGTCATAATTTTTACATGGAAAACCAAAAAAAGAGAAATAGCATGAGGTCACACCAGTTGAAATGATTCAACAAGAGTTTGAGTAAATTATAAGTGTATATTATCTCCTTGAAATTGAGGATTGTCAGATTACAATAGTCAACAGTCGTATTGAAATATGAAGGTCAAATGGAACTTCAAAGTCTGTCTGTGATTGAGAAGAAATTTGATGTCAATTGACAGTAGAGCAGAAGTCCGGTGTCCATAAGCGGCTGAGCATAATTCAACGTTAATTGAAGGTTGGGCGGAAGTCCAGCGTCCGTTAGTAGCCAAGCAGAAGTCTGATGACTGTGGCAGGGGTGAAGTTCAATAGTGGTTGAAGAGTCTAATGGCAAGAAAACTCTATTACTTATCTTCCTTCTCTTCATGCTTGAATCCCTCTTTTCATGAGAAATGAAGTCTATTTATAGGTTTCTGTGGCATGACCAGTAAATAAAAGGAAAATCAATAGTAAATTTGGAGTGTTTTGAATGGACGGTCAATGTTGAATCTCTTGATCATGGGCCATTTATTGGGCATTTGAACATCTTAATGATATCAGAAATTGACAATCTTGAGCTCGTTGGATTAGTTTCGTCAAGCTGCTCGATTCGACTATAAGCATGCCACCTTTGGAAACCGTTTGGTAATCCACATTATGATTTGAACTTTCAAAATGTGCTTCGGGTATTTCATTTGGACTCGGATTAAGTCGAATTTGGTGTCGTTGGGTTTGTATTTTTGAGACATTCAGTTCGACTATAAGTTTGTTGAAATCAAAGTTCAAATGGTCCCAGATTTAATTTTTTAAGTTTCCAATTTGATTTTGCATTGAGATTCGTGTCCAATCAAGATAATTTATTGATGATATATCAATAATAAAATTTTTGAGTGCTTGATGTAGATTCTCTTAGATTTGAATCAATATAATATTGATATCATTGTGTTCTTCTGATCAATGTATCCATTTCAACTTTTAATTTGTTGAAAATGGATTCATAAAATTTTGTATTTTATTATTAGATTTGAAATATAAGAATTGTGTCAATATTAGGGATGTCAATTTTTGACACGACCCGAAACACGATCCGAATCCGACCCGAAAAAATTTGGGTTCGGGTCAACCCGAACCCGAAACGGGTTGGGTTCGGGTTGAACAAATCAACCCGTTTTAAAAATCGGGTCGGGTTCGGGCTGACCCAGTTACCCAAAATTGACCCGAAAGTGACACGAAAACTCATATTTGACCCGAAAACCCGAGATTGACCCGTTTTTTACCCGAAAATCGAATATTGACACGATTTTGACTCTAAAATTAACAATTTTAGATCAACTTCAGGTCATTCGTGTCGGGTCGGGTTGACCCGGACCCGAATCGGGTCGGTTTCGGGTCCTGAAACCTGACCCGTTTTTAAAAATGGGTCGGGTTCGGGTTGACCCGAACAGTGTCGGGTCAGTTTCGGGTTCGACCCGAACCCGACCCGCCGACCCGAATTGACACCCCTAGTCAATATATACGCTTTAGTGAATATTTTTATAAAGCATCAATATTTTTATTTTTTTTTCACAACTTTGTTATTTATATGGAGCATGAAAAACATCCTTAACATTTTCAACATTTTTAATTAAGCTACATGCTTCATATGTCAAGTTTTGTACGCGAGTTCGCCCTTTAACTTTTAAACAGATAGCCCATAGCCCATTAATTTTTAGCCATGGACCGTAATGGCAATCAGGCCTTTGAATATACTGGGCCTTCCCCTAGGATGCCTGCCCCGTCCATGTGATTAGCGGAACAACTCAAATAATAACTTTCAAATAGGAAAATATATTTTATTTAAGGGTTTATTTGGTTTGATGAAAAGTAAGCATAAAATATTATCAATAAAGAGTTTTAGAAATTCATAAAAAGTTCTAATTCAATTATATGAATTCAAAACTAACGCATTTTTTTATTGAAGTTTAAAAATGCACAATAAACTAACTTCAACCTCTTCGTCGATCGTCGCAGCCCCAACCACCTATGGTCGTTGCCAGATGCCAGCGACATGCCGGCAGCCATCACCTCGCCATCTTTCTCTCCACGACTCCACTGCCCATCATCAAACGCCACTATTCCTTACCACACTATCGCAATCATCTTCGCCGGCCACCACAATTATTAAGATTTACATTATATTTATTTTGCTTCGCACTGAATAAAAATAATAATAATTTGTAATTTTCTTTTATTCCTTTAACAATTTATATTACATTCATAATTTAAATGTTTAAATAATTTATTTATAGATGATTCATGGATCCAACTCTATATCAAAATATCTGAAATGAATGTTACTGCCTTTCTCAGCCCCTTTGATTATGGAGCATAATGCAGGCGGATTTGTCATCGGATGCTGTGTCACATCATTTGATGATGCTGATCGCATCATCTATATGAGACCTTTTCCCCACATGCTACATGCAATCCACAATCATAGAGGATCAGATCTCCTTAACATATTTATATTTATTTGGCTAACTTAAGATCTTGCATGCAAGATTTTATAAATAACCTGAGAAAGGGATATAAGCGAGCCGGCTAGACTTCGATTCGGTTTGATAATGAGCTAATGAGTTGAGTTTATCGAGTCATGAGTTTGAACACAATCTTATAGTTGAACTCGTATATTATTAACACGACCTGATAGCCCGACGTAAAAAAATGTTCCAAACAAAACCTATATCTCAACAGTATGAATATTCACATTTACTCATGACTACTATTTTTAAGATGCTGATAAACAATTCAATATAGTAATAAAGATCAAGCTAAATTCATTTTCCTTTAATATTACCCAATGTTTTTAATTCACTTAAACTTATTAAATACTATCATCAATAGCTTCAGAAAGACCGGCAAGAAAATCTAAGTTGGTGATACTATGAAAGCATTCAGATATCTCAAAGAAACACATCAACAATATAATTCTTCTGACGCAGCTCATCTTGATCTGTTGGTTGGGAGCTTTAGCTACTAACCAAAATGTCTTGCGTTTGAAGCTTGTGTATGTAACACGAAAGTGATTAGGATGTTGTAGTTGAGTAATATTGGTGCTCAAGAGATCATAATTGATGAGCCGGAAGACTGTATTCAAATGATGACAGAAGAATATAATTGGGTGATAATTGTTGGACCATATGTTCATTTATTTTGTTTACATATTTTTAATATTTTAAACATTCCATATATTGATGATAATGACATACACATTATTAGAAAAGTGTTATAATTATAATTCTTTAGTTTAGATGATAAGTTCTAATTTTATATTTAGGAGTTCAATTATTAAAGGAAATTTGATCAATATTGATAGTAACACAAAACTAATAATAATTAATACTAAATTAATTACTGAACAAAAAGCTCAAGAAATTTTATTGTATCTTAACTAAACTGATAGAAAAATCTCGACCTTTGTTGACATTGTACATGAGCATCTTTCCCCTTCCCTTCAAATCTTATGCTGCATAAGACGCCAAGAGACTTAAATTTGTTCGGCTTGAGCCCACAATAATATTCTTCTGATAAGACATAGATTGAGAGAGAGAATCTTAAGTTCTCCTCCCCCTACTTCTATGGATTGTCAATAAATGGGATACTTAGCCATTCTTCTTATTCAAGGAAGCTGTGCCTGAAGAACAAGGACATGAGAAGAAGGTAATTCAATTAGTTACTTTCATTGATATAAAAAACGATAAGATCTCTCCATTTTTTTTCTTCTTTCCTTCTCTTTGTTCATAAATTGTTTCAGGGAGTTCCAGGCGTGAGTTTTTCTGAATTAGCTTGTAAAAAGAACGCCATGAATTGATTTTCATGTTCTGCAAGAGGTTTCAGATGTCGAGATGTGCGGTAAAAAGAACATCTTTTGTCCAACTGATTTAGCAAGCTGGTTCCTTTTTTTTTTGTTTGCGCAGAAATATCACTATATTAGACTTTTTTAAAAAAAGAACACCATGAATTGTTAATCTGATAATAACCAGTACTTAGTTTTTTTTTTTCCTGGATATCTGATATCATCAGGTCTTCTTTATGTTGACAGCAACAGTAGAGACTTGGATTTGATCTGTGTTCATATGCAAGATTCAATCTGCAGAAGTGTTTTATCCAGTTGAAGACGAGCAATGGGGAACTTCTGTAAACAATATGAAAAAGAATACATAAAGATAACCATGTTAAAGCACGAGGAAACCTTCAGAAACCAGGTAGGCTATCAATTGGTAATTCACTAACCTCTGCCTTACTAAGAAAAAATTTTTCTAACTCAAAAAGCTTAAACTAACAAGAAAAAATCAGTAACTTGACGTTTTCATCGTGAGCTTCTGCATGTATATGTTACAGGTCCACGAGCTCCATCGACTTTACCGAGTGCAGAAGAAACTAATGAAAGATCTTAAAAGACAGCGGGTATCGTCAGGTTTGCAGAGCAACAAAGAGAAACGGAATGCAGATAAAGAGAAAGCTCCATATCAATTACACAACAGTTGCCCAGAAGAAGAGAGCAATCTTGAGCTGACACTAGCCATTGGAAGTAGAAGGAAGATGAAGCTGCTTTCAACAGAAACGTTGGAACAAGTTTCTCCTTGTCTTCAACTGAGTCTGGTTCTATGAAGCTAATTAAATAGAGATGAATGGAAAATGTTTCTGATGAAGAGCTTTTAGAATGAGAGGAAGAGTGCTTTTGATGTTGAAGCACAAGAGAGGCAGAGCAAGAATAAGCAGTCAGCCTGGCTCTGCTGTACTGTTTCGTTTTGAAAACGGCATGATTAATTAGCTTTTTCAATTCAGAATAGCCTTAATATTCTGTTGTTTTCATATTAAAAATAACTAAAATTTAAATTTTATTAAAAAAAATTAATTGACACAAAATCAGAGTAGAGTTCATTCCTCATCTCTTTCATAATGATTGTTTCAATAGTGGCGAAGTCATAAATTTTATTCATAGATCCAAATTAAAATAGTTTTATTTGTCGTCTCATCTCGATAGTTAGAATACTAAAAAAGCTCTGTTTGACGTCTCATTACCGGAGTCAAGAGGAACTGTAAGATCAAAATTAATAATGCAAATAACATGGCTTTTAAAGCTTAGAAAACATAAATATATGTCATGGGTGGTCTTCGTTTGGGGGCGCGAGAGGAACAAAAAGGAAAATGAAAGCCGCGCTAAAGGTTGTGAGTCGCGAGTCATGAGAGAGGAGAATAAATGGGAAAACGAAATAGGCGGTTTGGGTCGAGGGAAAGCAAGCCATTTGAAATCGGTCTCCGTTTGGGCCTGCACACGCGCGCATAAGAGAAACTCGCTCTAGATTGCCTGCGCATATCAAGATTGATATATATTAAATTATATATAAATATTAATAATGTTGTAGTTTAACATTATCCATAATTAGCTATTTATAACTATTTTTTTATTAGATGAAAGTGTAATATTTTATATAATGTGAGCTACGTTGTTACGTAGAGTGAGTCACCACAAATTTACACTTTAAACCCTCAGGTTTTTTATATGATAGTCTAATAGAGTAATAGAGGAGAATTGATTTTTTTTTTTTTTTTTTTTTTTTAAATTCTATGTGCTTCATGGATGTACAAAAAGCGTATGAAGGATCATTGGGTAAATTCATTAATTAGCAATGTATGGGGCCGAATAATTAATCATGTTTTTCACGTGAATGAACAAAAGCTTTAAATTTAGAGCATATAATTTAAATTGATGTTTATTCATTTGGATAATTAAACAATAAAAATTAAATTTAAAAATGATATTTTCATATTTATCCAACATCTTTCACTTGCATACATATAGGGGTGTCAATTCGGGTCAAATGGTCGGGTTCGGGTCAAATCCGGAATTGACCCGGCACTATTCGGGTCAACCCGAAGCCGACCCGTTTTTAAAAACAGGTAAGGTTTCCGAACCCGAACCCGACCCGATTCGGGTCAGGGTCAACCTGACCCGACACGAATGACTCGAACTTGACCTAAAATTGCTAGTTTTCGGGTCAAAAAATCGGGTCAATCTTCGATTTTCGGGTCAAAACTGGTCAATCTCAAGTTTTCGGGTCAAATAAGAGTTTTCGTGTCAATTTCGGGTCAATTTCGGGTCATTTTCGGATCAATTTCGAGTTGCTGGGTCAAGTATCACTTATACTAAGCTAACATAAAAATATCTAGTATTATCTCAAAAATATCTAGTATTATCTCAAAAATATCAATTGCACTTGATTAGTTCAAGTATGTTTTTATCCCTTATACGTACATAATTTATAACGTGCTTGACATTGTTCTGTTGTGCATTCATGATGATCACAAATAACAAATCTTTGAGTTATAATTACTAGTGCTATGTCATTGGCATTATAAGGTTGATAGTTTATGCAATTCATCCACCTCTAACCTATAGATGATCTCATCATTTTGCTTTATTCTATCTAATTATGAAAAATATTGTTAAAGATTAAACATGGAAAACTGACTTCAAATTGGGCAATTATAATAACACAATAGTTTTTTAATGATAATTATAGAATATTTAAAAAATTTATTAAATATTTTTAATAATTTTTTAAATTATGATTAAAAATAAACTTTTGCCACAATTTAGCCATAACTTTTTTAAACTATATGGCTACATAATTATTTTTAATCACATGCTCATTTTTTGTCATATAATAATTAGTCAACAAAAAATAGAGATGAAAAATGTATGACCAAACAATACTTTAAAAAATATGATTACAACTTAAAATTTAAATAGATTATTTTAAAAAATATTACTATTAATATGTCACCAAAAATCGCTTTGATTGGCTTGAATCTCGATGCAAATTTTTATTTGAAACTTTTAAATTAAAAATTGGAATGATCCAAACTCCGATTTCATAGTCAAATTGAATATCTCAAGGAGACGAACACAATGACACCAAATTCATTATGATCCGAGCTCAAATGAGCTCAAATCAAAAGATAAAAGTATTCTCAGAAGTTTTGGAGCATTAATTGGATGACCAAATGATATTCAAATATGACATACTTATAGTAGAATCAAACAACTGGACGAGACGAATCCAACGATCGAGAACAAGATAACTCAATCCTAACATCATTAAAGCACTCAAATGCTCTATGATTAAGCAAACTAATATCAACCGTTCGATGAAACACTCCTACTATGCCCTTGATTTTTTTTTTTTTTTTTTTATAATTACTAGCCTTGTCATTCCCAAAAAACTATAAATAACCCTCCATTGTTCACATGATGGGGAGGAGAAGAAAAGAAAACTTACACCACAGGAAAATGTGATATTACCGGCGGATAAAATCCACTGGTAAGAATGAAAATCCGTCGTAAAAAGGCCTTTTCGATGCATTTCTAATGCAAATTGTTATGACGGTAATTCACGCATCGAAAATTCAACACTGTTGAATTTTTTTCGTCGGAAATAGTTCCTGCGGATCTTCCGGCAAAGCACCAGTGGAAAAATAGGCACGGTCGACGCCTTTTTCGTTGTAGTATTCTAGCGTAAGATCCGTTAGTAATTCCAGCGGATAATCTACACCGAAAATACCAGCGCATAATCCGCCGCCTAAAAAAATGTCGTCCTGTTACCGACATTCATTATCGCCGTAATATCCGTCGGAAGGAACGGCGCAAAGTTTCGCAAAAAACTCATTGTATATTGTATTACTGGCATTGTTTTTGGCAGATAATCCACCGAAAACCTGTAGCATAAATTAAAAAAAAAAACTTCCTCATTTTAAAAGTGATTTCCACTATTAAATCTACATTGAAAATAATACAAACAATATTATATACATTCAGACATTCACTTCAGATAAAGAACATCACCAATTACATTATTAAACATAAATATTTAAATAATAACATAAACAAGAAGAGTATCATCAACAAATATCTAATAATAAAAAAGTCAAGATGTTCAAACAACAAATAACTAAGCATGTCCAAAAAAATATAAATACAGATATCCACACCAGTAAAATAAATAACATCTATTCTGATTCAGTCTCTTCCTCAGTTGATGCTATACTTCTCCCACTACTCATCTTCTTCCTCATCTTTTGCATTTCCTCTAACATTTGAGCTTGTTGTATATGTATCTGTTGTTGCATCTCCGTTGTTGTTGTTGCATCTACATTTGTTGCTGTTGCATCTGCATCTCACAATCAGCTTATGCTTTCCTTACCTGTTCTAGCTCAGTTGCAAGGGCAGCTATATGTTGGGTATATAAAGACTCTTGGGTGTTAGTTGAGAAACTGGAGCCACCAAATATCTGCAACTCATATACAGCCGCTTGCAAGCCTAAACCGTATACTCTGCCATGCTGTATTCCTCCTATCGCTTGCGACCAAGTGCGACAGTCAGAATATTATGCTGATCCAGCAGAAGAACCTTCACTTGCTGCAGCATGGCTCTCTCGAAGTCGTATATACTCCTCATATGAAAGTTAATAAAAATTTAAGCAATTTATATATAACATCACAACAATTAAACTTATATACTTACACGGGCTTTCCTCGCACGCTCATCTACACATTGTTGGTCCTCCTACCGCTTGTGGGTATGACTATGCAATTCAACATGAGTCGGTTCTCTATCCAACACTTCTTTCTGTAACAGACATGTATTAGTATTCTTGTATTTTTTTGAAAAATATTCTCAATTAAAAAAGAATATTAGTTGCTTATAATTTTATAATTGCCATTATTAAATATTATACTAAAATATGAGATGCATGTTCTTCATGCTCCATAATAATAACATGTTTTCATCAACCCAAACCCTTTAACTCTTTGTAACTATTGAATATGACTATATACTTCTCTATAGTGGTGTAATTAGTTCTTGTATTATAAGATACACGAGTTCACTTGCAATATATAACATATATAAAATGGCATGATTCTATTGCTTGATTGTATATTATAATTCTCTTGAAAATGTCTAGTGAGAACATTAATAACAAAACCAAAAGGCATACACCAAGATATCTTCTCTTGCAAATGTATAGTGAGAACATCCAAACTCAAGGTCATGAGATAATACATTCTCTTGAGATAATACATTATCTTACCAGTGGCGTTCGGGGCTACTTTTGGCGAAAGTCGGAGAGGTTTGGTTAGGGCAGCTCTCGGACGCGAGAAAGAACTGCTCGCCGGTTGGTAGTCAGGGCAGATCTCAGACTTGAGCAAAGAGAGGGAAAGAACGCTCGATCTCGGGCGTCGGTGTAGCTCTTAGACGCGAGAGAGGAAAGGAATCGGCAGTTCTCCGACACGAGGGAGGGAGAGAAATGAGAACTCGTTCGACTGATTGGCCGAAATAGGGATTTAACTGGTGCATTTTCTGGCGTATTATCCACCGGTTATATAACCGACGGATATAATACACCGGAATTGCTTCGTCGAGTTTAAGTAACTTGGCGCAATATTCACCAGTGATTACATCAGTAATTACTGGCAGAATATTCGTCAGACACCTTTGAAATGCGGGCGAAAAGCCAGGGAAATTTTTGTCGGTATTTCTGCGTCATGTATTGCGATGTTAACATACCGACGCATATTCTGTCGATACATGTGCCAGTGTTACCGGCGTAAAATTATCCGCCAGTAAGTCCGACGGTAATAGCACATTTTCCTGTAGTGTTAAGAGCTTGCTTGCACTCTTCATCTGAACTTTAGCCGATTCTGCAACTATCTTCGGAACTCTTCCCTTATGCTATTGATGCCAGATCTCCTTCAATCATCATTACCTGTTGACCACGATCATTTCGACCATCATCGCCCGCATATTGCGGTTTCTTCAACCACTGTAGCCCGACTACAGTCCTTCCAACCATCGTAGCCTGTCTAAGATCCTTCTGACCACCATCGCTCATCAACTACGGTCTCTCCGACCACCGTCACCTGCCGACTATGATCCCTCGGACCTTGGACCTCCGTCACCCGACTACAGTCCCTCGGACCTCCGTCGCCCGACTACGATCCTACCAACCAAATGAACATGCCAACACTCACTTGAGAATAGCTCTCATATCATCAGACTCTTCCAACCCCAACTAAATAATATGTTGTATACTTTTTATATTGAGCCAATGGCTTCGCCTAAGGAAGAGTATTATTTGTAACCAACCACTAAGACGTGTGGATTAATTCAAATTGAGCTAGACCCCTTGATTTTTCTCTTTTTTAAAGTTTTTCAGATAAAAAATTATGGTATCCCTTATGAATGCTATACCCCTATCTTTTATCTACTATTATGCTGGATATTCGTATAAAGCTAGGACGTTAAACTTTATATCTCTCTAATGCCACGTATATTTTAGGACACAATAACTATAACATTAAAAATAAAATTGATCTATCATTCAAAATAAATTAAAGTCACCAATAACAAAGCTCATTCCTATATTAAACTCCAAACAAAATAATAAATTTTATTGGAAAATTTTTGTATCAGATTATTCTCATAAAGTTTTGGTCATGATGAGTCTAAGAACTCCATGAAAAGATAAGCGCAGTGCATAGAAAAAAAATATTATACTTATCTTAAAATAGATTAAAATTTTTTAGACCCGTCATGGCCACTTTTTTATCAGAGTATTTTGATAATACTTTTTTTCTTATTTGATGTCACTATAAAATTCATTTGATCAAATACAAATCACGATTTAATATTTAAAATGAAAACTTATAGAATTAAATTCAAAATTATCCAAATTCTTATTTTTGCAAACTTATAATTGAATTGAATATCTTGACAAACAAATCCAGCGACATAGAAAGTATTATGATTCTAGTCCAAACGAATCCAAATCAAATACTTGAAGCACTTAGAAATTTTAGAATATTAATTGAGAATCCAATGATCTATGAATCTTGCCTACTTATGCTCAAATTGATAGCCTCAACGACAAGAAACCAACAATTCTAAGATCATTTAATTAGAGGTTATCAAGGCATGCAAATGCTAAATGAAAGGTCCATAATCAAAGGATTCAATATGAGTTGTTTGATGAAGCGTATAACTCTATAACACAATTTGATATTTAATGCTAACGATCGCCACCTGCCACCATTGACATTTGACAACTATCATCAAGCTATCAACGTCACATTATCATTGTTCAACAATCAGTGTCTGTCTGTCATAGTTCATTCACAATCATTTGACCACCAACCAGCATTTGATTGCAGTTGTCCAACCACCGTCTCCTAATCATCGTCATTTGACTATCACTGCCCAAAAAACAATGCCCGACAATTGCTATTTTCCCTCTACTTTTTCTCCTATAATATTTTACAATCATATGAGAATTGAGATCAAACAAATACTCCTAATTTTATTGTCTTGCTCTTATATAGAGAATTCAATTTTTTTTAACTATATAATCAAATATGTAGATTTATGTCTCCTAGATTCTTCTATTTATCTATGTTTATACTGAATATTCATATAAAATTAAATGTAAATTTTTTTAACACATATAATATTTAATTAGAATAAGCGAGGATGTTTGGACAAATAGGTCATTCCAAACATTTGCACATTTAATGTCTCATATGTTAGATTTGGGGGATTTACATACATAATATTTTATTATATATATATATATATATATATATATGTTGCGTGTTTGAATATACACGGCGGTAGAGTTCGTATTTTTACGTCCAAACGTTGTATGAATATTCAACAAACACAAACAGAAGATGAAAAGAAATTGAACACCAGGATTTTTACGTGGAAAACCCGAAAGAGGAAAAAAACCATGGGGCCACGCCGAGTTGAAGTAATTCCACTAGTGTTTGTTTGAAGTTCAGATGTTGATTCGTCCCACAAGTCAGGATGATCAGATTAAAATTAGTTTCTTCTAAATTGAAACAAAGTTACAAAGCTTTGAAGAATTCCGGCGTCTCCTAAAAATCTGGCATAATTCCGACGTATTCAGGCGGCGGAAAGAACTTCGGCGGTGGTCAAGGATGAGCTGATTCTCCTCCTTCTTCTTCTCTTCTCTTCTTCTCTCTCTTGCTTCAGTTGCCTCTTGTGAAGAATGAGGGCTCTATTTATAGTTTTTTTGGAGTGGCATTGCTCGTAAATAGGCGTGAGATCATGGTCAAGTAAGGAGTGGTCGAATGGACGGCTGATATTGAATCCCTTGATTGTGCACCGTTCGTTAGACATTTGAAGGCCTTAGTGATGTCGAAATTCGATGATCTTGGGCTCGTTGGATTCATCTCGTCGAGCCGTTCGATTCGACTATAAGCTTGTTAAAATCGGAGACTGTTCGGTAACTCAAATTGTGGCACGAGCTTTCCAAAAACACTTCGGGTGCTTGATTTGGGCTCGGATTGGTTGAATTTGGTGTCGTTGGGTTCGTATTTCCGAGATGCTCAGTTTGACTATAAGCTCGCTGAAATCGGAGTTCAGATGCTCCTGAATTTAATTTATGAAGTTTCCAACTTGATTTTTGCGCCGAGATTCATGCCCGATCAAATAATTTCACGATGATGTATCAATACATAATACCTAAAATTTTAATCTTACATTCTATTACTGATATAAAATTTTAATATCAAATATATTACTCTTATATTTTATTATTATCGCCCATATCATCCTATATATTTTAATATTTCATTATATATCTTTATATTTGTTCTAGTGATAGATATATAATATTAAAATTTTAAGTATTAAATATTTAAATAACAAGAAATAAAATGATATTTATCTAAATCCCACATTAGATTTTTCTCCAAATCGTAAAAGAGGGAGAAATTACGAAGCATGGAGCCTTATCAGCCCAAATTTCCCAACAGTTTCTTCTCTTCCACATGACTCTTGACTTCAGATCTGTTACCCGTTAAAAGGATTGACGCCACGCATTCTCTGCACGCCGTCGCCGGAGTTAAGGTCAGGGCTTCGCATGACGAGTGCTTCTGAGCTTTTCTATAACCGAAGGTCTCGCGCTAGCCGTAGCGCGGAGACGAGGCTGGGCCTCGACGGTTTTTCCTCGGACCGAGATCGGCTTCCGATTCGCCGCTCTTTCCTACGCCGCCGACGCAACCATTTCGCTAACGGACAGGACATGGAGCCCTCGGTTCGACCTCGAGCATTTTTGCGATCGGTATGTGCCCGCCTACGAATCTCAACTTCAGCGTATGTTGTTGTTTCGGGGAAATTATTTTCAAATCCCATTCCGTTATTCTTGTTTATATATCAAGTTTTTCCTAAGAAGCTTGAAGTTACGAGCTTTATCGACGCATTTCAATTGCTGGAACATATTGGGAAGAGCAAATTATAGGATGCCAAACTGAGAAATTCGGGTTCTTTGATCTTTGTGAAGGTAGTTTGGGGGTATTGTAGGTCTTCAGGGCTGAGGAAGATACCTAATTTTATATAAATCGGTGCCTGAAATGAATCTTTGACGGCTTCACCTGTGGATCTGTTGAAGAAAAACTCCCGGTTAGCATTATAAGTTTATACCCTGCTGCATGCACTTAAATCAAGCAAGTTTATTCTCATATATTCAAGAGTTCGCTGTCAATCCAGTAGTTTCTGAATCAGAACCAATTTATGAGTTCCTTTTTGTGTGTAATCAACGGATCAGCCCCTTCTATAAGAATTTCCTCATTTAGCAGACTATCCATGAAGAGTGGACAAAGGAACATTTAGCCTTTAAGGGGGCGTTGTGTTCGGTCTAAATCTAAGTGGAGATTTACAACATGATATTTGGGAATTTAAATGGGAAGGCCAGAGAATTAATGAACATTATGATAATAAGAAGAATAAATATTGCTTTTTCACAAGAAACTAAGAAACTATGTCTTCATTGATAATTTGATATGGTGATGGTTGTTTAAATAGCATGGTGAAAAATCACTGTTGAAAACCTGTTGATTTATGTTTGGATGATCTTTGACTGAGTTTTTATTTGTAACTCAGGTGTTATTTTTACTTGTTTGACTATAGCATTTTATATTTTCTATATTGTAATAATAAAAATAAAAAGATAATAAAAAACTAAGATTATCATATATAAAATCAAGTTGTGGAGTTGGATAAGCATTGTATCAATATATAAATTGTTTAGAATGCAATATGTTAACAAATATAACAAATATTTTTCAAATAGCTATCAATATCTTATAAGCAAATACAATACAAAATAAAAAAAGATAATTCTTGCTATCCATCAATTTGTTTATTCTTACTAAAATAGAAATATTATATGATTCAATAAATATGTATCCAAAGATGCCCACGAGCTTCATTAATGATAAAAATTACTGCAAAGTTTTATCTAGATTTTAAGAAAGTTCAATTCCTAATGTCAAACTAAAACGTAAAATATGACATAGTTAATGTATGGCTTCCCATTTGAGGGTGGAGTAGGATGGTTGATGTGAATCAATGTAGGAATTGCGATTGGAAATCAAAATGGGAATTATTCAAAGCTTGTCAAAACAAATTTTATTACCAACAAAATAAAGGAGTAAATCGTTCTAGGTCATTAACTTGCTTAGGCGAAGACTTGCTTAGAGATAACCGAACAATTCATAACATTCAAAGATAAAAAGAAATACTTAAATGCTCGTCACTAAAATCCCACAATTAATAATAAAGAAGTTCACCTTGAGTACCCTTTCTCTCTCTCTCGTTCACTCTTGGGCTTTAGCGGAGGAGAAAGAACCATGCGAGGATGATGAGCACCACTAAGATGAAGGCGACGAAAGACCTTGTTACCGGAGAGGTATTCACCGGAGAAGGTGGTGGCGGATGGCGTCCAATGATCGTCCAAGTGTAGCCACGAAATTGTCGGTCGAAAATACTTGCGAGGATCGGGACGACTCGCTCCAAATACTCTTCGATTGTGGCGTCGTCTTCAAATCCTACGTCGAAGCAAGGAGAGCGTAGTATATCAATGCTCCCGTCGGCGTGGAAAACTAATCCCCACTCAAGCTCCGGATCCGCCATTCAACATTGAGGCAAAGCGGGAAGAAAACAAGGGAGGGGTTCGGCCAAGAGCTAGGGAGGAGTAAGAAGAAAAATCTGAAATTTGAATTTCAAATTTTCTAGGCTTGAAAGGAGAAGTTATTTTATCATTAAATTCTCCTTCAATTAAATTAAAAAAGGGGCAGCCATTAAGGGGATAAATTAGGGGGGTAATTAGTAGACGATGAGGTGGCAAAGAGAGAGAAACGGCTAGGTGTGAGGGGCTGGCCAGGCAAGAGAAGAAAGAGGGGAGTTTTGCTTAATTAGTGGGCCCCATGTCATTAATTAAAATCTGATTTTAACTTTCAGATTTTATTTAATTAGGGAGATTTGAAATTTGAATTCAAACGGCTAAGATTTCAATTAAATCTCTTCCTAAATTTAGGGCGCTATTTTAGGAAAGAATTAAAAGAAAAACTTAATGCAAGAATTTCGAAATTCAATGGGAAAGGAGGCGGGATTTCTCCCTGGGAAAAGCTGGTCGGCCAAGGGAGGCTGCGGCCTGGGCTGAAGCCAGTGGCTGGCAAGTCCAGCGGAAGGATGCGGGGAGGGAAGATCGGCTGAACTATGGGGGGAAGGAATTGTGCTGGAACGGCTAAGTGGAAAGGGGAAAATTGTACCAATGTAAAGGGAAGGGGTCTGATGTGTGTAGGAGGAGATAAGGGACCAGAAAACAAGGAAAATACCGGTAAAAACCAAGAGTTCACCGGAGCGGACTGTTGGGTACTTCGGGTGGAACCTCTCCTAGGTCTCCTCTCTTTCTCTCAAGCTCTCAAGCAAGAAGAAGATGAAATCTCAGAAATTTTATTAATCAAGCATTAACCCCATACAACAAGAAGAGACCCCTTTATAAAGGTCTCAAAGCATGAAAAGAAAAAAGACTCATATGCCCCTTGGGCTACAATAAACACTACGCCTACATAAGGGCGAAATCGTCACTAGTACATGAAATAAAAGATACACAAAATAAAATAACATAAAACAACATGATAACATCAAAAATATAAACTCCCGATCGTAGCCGTCGATCTACGATTCCTTCGCCGATAAACCTGCCTAAAATGTCTGTCGATGACCTCATCAATGGTTTGTGGTGATTCTTGACTTCTTGACTCGAGCTTGTTAGATTGTTGTTGCCCATTATATGCTTGAAAGAGATTGCAAGCCTTTTCTCTAGGTCTAATTACTCGATAAAGTGCACCACTTCAACCTACCACATAAGAATGTCATTCTTCCTTAGTTTTGTACCGTCAAAGAGAATATAAAATTTCATAAAAATTTAAGAGAAAAGAAAAATGATGATTAAAAGCAGGTTATAACTTATAAGAGAATGGTTAACATGTATTAAAAAATTAGAATGTAATAATTGGCTTATCTGCATAAACAAAATTCACTTGCATTATTAATTATATATAGAATATAATCAATAATATGCTTGAAGAGTAGTTTAGAAATTATCTAAATAAATCCACATGCAACAACAATAACAACAACAACATCAAGCCTTTATCCCACTACGTGGGGTCGGCTACATGAATCCTTTTTCTCCATTGTGTCCTATTAAAAGTCAAATTCTCGTTTAAATCTAATAAAGAAAGAAATGCCCACATTTAATCCTAAAAAATTGTTTTACTTTATTTTTTATTTTATGCCCCTTTATCTTAAAGTCCAAATTCAAGGCCATGAACATGCTTATCATTGTCAGTAATATCATATGATTGCAAAATATGTTGTCCAATGCAACACTTGAATGCTTTTGGATGAACAATAGTGTCATCTGCATTAAATCACCCAAATTCAAGGCCAATCAAAGAAGAATGTTGTTTATTGAAATTGTGTAATGTCATGGTAGTAATAATGTAATTACCTAGTTTTGCATATCCTTTAGGAGCCCAAACACATGGAAAACAATTGACAATATAAAGCCCCCAAAACAGGCATCTCCTTGGATTAGCTTTGGCTATTGGATTCAAGTCCATCACCCGATGAACTACTGCCTGACCCTAAAATGTTATGCATGAAGCATCTCTTTGTATCGTCACCTGCAAAATTGTCATCCATCATTGTCAATTCGGCCGACATTAGTGCTTCTTGGGTTACTTAACAATCCACCCATAACTCTGAACTCGATCCTCTGTAGAATTTGGTCTTCTTGACAGAACAACCTTCGAGAGCACTTCAGTAGGGGAGTTGGCTCGCCTTCATTTGTTTAGCTTTAGACATGAGACATCCCATCAAGCCTTGGACTCTTTATTGTCCATTGAGAGTGCAATTCGCCCAGAGCATAAAGGTTGCTGACATATGTTCATTTTACACATTAGCCTGTTATAATTAGGACATATGCTACATAATTCCCACATCTTCGTGACACAAGGACCATGATGTCAACACAGACGGGATGGACCAATCACAACCTCACAAGCTGCTTTGAAGGATCAAGCTATTCTCTAGTCATCTAGCCGTCTTATGACTACCACCTGACACTCATTTGCCTTTGATCCCTCATTTCTTCCATGTTGTCTCAACGATCAATAAGTAAAAAAGTTAGAATAATACAGAAAATGCTTTAGAAAATTAAAGGGGTATATAATTAGTAGAATTAATAGAAATTTATTTCGAGAGTATTATATTATAAAGAGAATATCATAAAGATTTATAGATAAATTTTTTGAAAGTACAATTAAGTTGCAATGTTATATGAAACTGAGCGTTGGATGATAAACAAGTCCTTGTAACCGAATTGAGCTTAACATAAATGAGAATGCTAAGATGGTTGCGGACCAAATTAGGAAGTATGAAATAACTATTTAGTGGGAAGACAAGTAAAGCCTAGTGAAGATAAAATAATGAAATGTAGACTTTTATGTGCCATGGCTATGTACAACAAATGATAGAAAAATATGGGCAAGTGGATTTATATGATTAGTGTTGAGATATTAGAAAGGAGAATCATGACAGCAAAACGTAGAGGTTGTGCAAAAGGATTTGTTTAGAATAGAGTGATGAACTTATGTTGAAAAAGAAAAAAGAAAGAAAGAAAGAAAGATTAGTGATGATGATGATGATATCAATCAAATCCTAGATTAGATGTGCTTATCTTTGACCATGTTTAGACATGCCTCCATAAATACAACACAGGTTAACTTTACTTACTCCTGAATGTTGTGCGCATCCAATCAAGTATAAATGTGATAGAAAATACTTGAAGATCTCAAGTAAACTCTAACAATATTGATGAAAACAGCGAGAAAACTCCACAAATCCAATGGAAAAACAATCAAAACAGTAGTTTTTATTGAAAAATCAAACTAACGGAAAAGAAAATAGCAAGATACAATTGATCCTCAATTCGAGAGGAAAATCTCTCTCCCAATCCCCAGAACGCCGCTAACTATAATTCCGCTTTCCAGCAAAGTTGATAACGTTGGGCGTCTCTGCATTCTTTAATTTAGACAGTAGACCACCTCTAGCTTGCAAACAGTAAGGATGATTTCAATTTGAAATGTCTACCTATTCCATCCATCTTATCTGCTATCTGTATTGCACAGGTACAGGAACCACGTCATTCAAATGACAGCAATTTTGGTGATTCAGGCACGACCAATAGCATCAATACTGATAGGATCAATAGGCTATTGTCCGCAAGCAACGGACAGTTGCCTACTTCTGTCTTGCAGGCACGAGCAAGGCTTCTTGAGAGGCTTAGAGGCATCTCCATTCCACAAAATAGGTGAGCTTCCTTCATTTTTTGGTGGTGTATGACGGTTCTTGTTGGTCATATCTCGCAAATTCTTTCCTCGTCTCAGGTTAACAGTTTGTATTTGTTTAATTAATTTTTTTTTCTCTTTCAGACAAGAGGAAGAAACTTCTGGTGTTCCCTGGGATGACGAGTACTGGGAGGTAGTGGTTGGAAGAAATTCACTGGAATCTGGCAGGCAGGTTTCTAGCTCTTTGCGTCAGGCTCAACCTCCATTAGTTAGCAGAACAAGGGGTACGTCCGTAAGGGGTACCAGGTTAGCCAATTATAGGAATTTTCATTTTTTGGTTTGGTTCCTCTTCACGAGAAATTATTACATGCAGAGTCTGGTTATGTCCGGAATTCAATAAAAATATGACATGTCCTTGTACACAGTGTGCATAACTGTACATACTATATACAAATTATAAAATTATGTATATAGTATGTACAAACATATATACATAATATACACATTATGTACATAATTGTACACAGTGTGTATAAATTTGTACACAATGTGTACAATAACACATGTCACATTGGACTCTGCACGTAATAATTTCTCCCTCTTCACAGTTTAACTTAATCATCACTGAATTTGTTGCCATTGTGTTATGTTTGTCTTTTAAACTTTGTCTCAGACCAGTTATGGGTTCTTCCGGCACCTCCCTGTATGAACTTGCAAGCTTCGGTGACTTAGTAGAGCGAATTCAATCACAACTTTTAGATTTTGGTGTAGAAGAAAGCCATGGATTTCCAGTTCCACAATACTGTATCAGTAGGTCTCCTGGACTTAGCTGCGATGCCATTGATAGCCTTCTTCATGAAGTTTTCAAAGAAGTTGAGCATAATGATGTTGGAATGCAATGTGATTGTTCTGTATGTTTGGAGAGTTTTCAAGAAGGAGATGGACTTCTTCGATTACTCTGTGGCCATAGGTTCCATACTGCTTGCCTGGAGCCATGGTTGAGGACTTGTGGTGATTGTCCTTACTGTAGGGCAAGAGTATAGTTATGTTGCTTTTCGTAGCAGCAGCAGCAGCAGGAGTAAATGGAGACATTTAGGTTTCGTTTGGGATGACTTTCTTACTGCTTGTTCAAACAGCTTTTTAGTAGTACTAAAAAGCTGTTTGAGGAAACAGTAAGAAAGCTGTCCCAAATGAAGCCTTAGACTTATCTTCTTCATTCCAGTTTTGAATTAGCTATTTCATATGTTTGCTTGTAACAGCCAACAGTTTCTGCTGTTAAGGAGTGCTGGTAAAGTTGGGCTCAACTTGACTATATAGGAAAAAAATGGATGTAAACTATGATGTGGATTTATTTGTGGTTAGTAGATATTTTTGTTTCATATATTTATCAGAATATGGAAAGACGGAATTAGAAGATATGTAAAAGTGTCAAAGACAGGTATTGGAGAAATTATTACGTGCAAAGTCTGGCTGTAATTTTTTGTTCGGATTTCAATCATGTAAAGATACATAAATTTTTTCTCTTGTACACATTATGTGACAGAGAAAAAAATTTACATGCTTTCATGTGATTCGGTTTCGGACGGCATTATAATTAATAGCTAAATTAATTCTTTAGAAAATGAATCAAATCATTTAAATAAAATTGATTTATTTTTTATTTTATTAAAAAATAATACACTGTTTTGAGGAAGGGCTGCGTTCTATTTTAAATTATAAAATAAAAAATACCAGAAAAGTTTTTTAAGGTTGATGAGAGAAGAGAGAAAGAGACGTTGATATTGGCTTTATGAAGTATCAAATCTCTTGATATTTCACATTTAGGTTGTCATCCTCGTTTTGACCTTAACACAGCAAAAAAATTTCTGCTGATCAGCGATTTGCTTTCAGCCTTACGTATGAAATTTAAACTGCTGCTAGCTGCCAAATAATCAAAGCTTATTCTGTTTTATGCTTAGTATTTATCGTTTGCTATATTTTTTTAATATTTTATAAAATGATTGGAGAGAGAGTAAATTTTTTAAATTAATTCTGAAAAGTAGCTTTCTAGCATAAAATATTTAAAATAAATAAAATAATAATAATCAAATAAAAATTTTAATTACAATTTAAAAAATAAAACAGCAAGAAGGTTGTCGCAAACAAAGCTAAAATTCTTTATTATTTTTCATAATCTATGTATGAGTATTAAGGATATGAGGATTAAACACCACAATGACGAAACAAGCAAGAAAGTAAAAGCATGGGATAAGTAAAGAACACCATGATGTAATGTGAAAAATTTTTAAAATAGGGAAAAAACCACGGAGCCACATCACACCAAGAAATTCACTGAAAATTGGGAGAAATAAGTATATATATATCAAGAAATAAGTATATATTTCTCTCCTCTCTCACTCTCTCTTGGCTTCTTTTCTCACATGCACCGTTCTCAATGTCTACACACTCAAAAACCCCAAGGGATTTAACCCTTCAGAAAAATGAGAAAGAAAACGCTCAATTCGTCTCGCGGAGCTGTGGCGTCAGTTTGGGGCGCTGCAGCGCCCAATCCTTTGTCTTTCACCATCACTGTGCCATACCTAGGCGCTGCGGTGCTCTATCCTTTGTCTCAACATCAAGGTGCTCAAGTACGTACAGCCGGTGCATTGTACAAAAAGAAATTTCCGGTGCAAAGGTGGCATATGGGCTTGGGGAAGTTCATATTGGCCTTAGCAAGGTTCCATGCATGGTTGGGTATCACACGATTAATCGCATGAGGCACACCGCACAGAATATCATGTGGGAGTTCTAGTGAGTGATCGGGAGAAATCGACCTTATTAACACCGCTAGCTCTACCCTTCCTTCTCGCCCCAATCGGCTAGCCTCCCATTCCTCCGAACATCCCCAAGGACTTTGCCCAACCTCACGTTATTATGCTCCCGCACAACGCCCTATGTCATGAACTATGACGATTGTTTTGAGAAGAGTTCCCCATGAGAGGTAGAAGACAACAACTTCATCAGTGGGACATTCAAGAGTCACCACCCTTGATTGAAGCCATCCTTTAACACCCAATTCCGGCAGGATTTAAACTACCGAACATTGATTATTAAGATAAGAAATCCGAACCATACAAGAGGTGGGAGACAACCACTTCTCTCTTGACACCAAACTCCTCTTCAATCAAAGCCCAGCCATTGTCGGACTATCAGCCATCGCTAGACCACTTTCCGATCACCAATATATTCTCCTCATCATCTACACTTTTTTCTTCATTAGAAAAAGAGGCGTAAACTACTATACAAAAATAAATTAATGAAGATAAAAGCTAGTACATTACACTAAAATAACTATAACAAAAAGTTAATTCTACCAAATGGCTGACACGAGTACAACCTGTTAAACTAATATACTAACATGATAAGCACATCAAGTGAATCAACCAATACAATTATTGCCCCGAATCTAATCTCTTCTCAAATCAGCAAATAAATAAAAAAAATCATTGGGCCGGGTCGAAATGGGCTAAGAAAAATCTACAGCTTAGGCCTGACCCGCAATTGCACTTAGGTTAACTTGGGTCGGGCTAAACGCCTCAATTGCACTTAGGCTTCGTTTGGGACGGCTTTTTTACTGCTTTCTAAAACGGAGTTTTAGTACAAATTTTTTTATTTTTGTACTAAAACTCAATTTTAGAAAGCAATAAAAAAGCCGTCCCAAACGAAGCCTTAGTTTATTGTCGTAATTAACTTTCTAAGAATTGTTTATTATTTAATTTAGTTTATACTTGACTTGTTTAGATTAATCAGATTAGAACTGACACCAATTAATAAACAAGCTAATAAATAAATAAATAAATATCAAAAGAAATTTATAAATATATAATATTAACAAATAATTTTATAGATCAAAATAATTGGTAAAAATATAATTAAATCATATCATATTATTCAGAGTAATCAAAGTAATAACATATCAAAAGTGATACGATGAAAGCTTACGAAATCATGAGATAATACAATTTTAACAGATTTAGGAGGGATAAATCTGTAGAGCTCTAAATCATCAAAAACATAAATAAAATAATATTTACTTACGGTGCTTAGAATAACTTTTGTTAAAGGAAGGCCCCTGCTAATATAAGCTTTTCATGTGATAATTTTTGAAAAATAAATAAATTATTTGAGAGCACATACACAAAAATAAGTTTTATTGTGTTTTTCAACCAACTTTTAAAAAATATTCAAAACAAACTTGAAAGAACTTAGACTATTAATTGGGCTAAATACAGTTATTTATTAAGTGCTTTTATTCACCTATAACCCTAATCAATATACTTTTACAAAAACAATAAAACAAAAGCCCTTAATTGACTCTCAGATAAGCCAATAAATTGAAAATTTATTGGGTCGGGCGGTCTGATCGGTGCTATGATATTTTTTCTATGGGGGTACAAATTGTTTATTTTAAAATACCCTTAACATTTTTTATCGAAGTATAATGCACTATTAATGATCATATTTTCTCCAAAGTTTATAACATTTTAAATAACATGTAATTAATAACAACAAAAATTCAAATAAATATTATACGACTCCTTTTAAAATTTGTTCTTAATTCTATAAATCCTCCTCATCAGAATTTCGTTATTCAAGAGAGAAATAATGGAGCATAATTCAAATAAGAGAAAAAATAGTTCAAATTATAAATTATTTGTCTTTTATAGTTATTATAAATTGAACTTTTATTTGGTCCGGTCACCTAACGTAGATCTATGTTCGGATGCCAGTAAAATAGTGCCACGTGTTCTTACTCTTTACCGCGCGGCCCGACAACCCGAACCGGAACGGACCCGGGATTGCTCAGTATTGCTCGGTATTACAAGGTATTGGTCAATTTTGCTCTGTAATGATGAGAACTACCATTCTGTGAAGACCAATACCTAGCAATACCGAGTTTTTCTCGGTATAACTCGGTATTGGTCTTCACAGAGCGGTATTTCTCGTTTTTGCCAAGCAATACCTAGCAATACCCGAATATAGCAATTTCAGGTTCTAGTCCGGGTCGGGTCGTCGGGCCGCGCGGTTAAAAGTAAGAAGACGTGGCGAAATATTATTGGCGTATGAACGTAGAGCTACGTCAGATCACCTGACCTAATAATTGTTCTTCTAAATTACCTGTCTTTTCAATTCTCAAAATTTTTTTAAATGGTAGTGGAGGCCCGTGCCACCGGGCCTCCACCCTTTATAAGCCCATACTCCTTGGGTCCATGCCCAACAATAGAAATTGCTTAGTATGTAATGTATTATTTTATGAAAAGCAATTAACATATTTTGTTTGATAAAAACTACATTTGAACAATCTAGATTTAAAAAGCTCGTTCTCACCACAGTTGTTTGAAAAGCAACAAAAAAAGCTGTAGCGCAAGCTGTTTGAGAAGCACAAAGAGCGGCCACAAATATAACTTCATGCTTAGTTTTGGACAGCTTCTTGAGTACTTTTGTGATAGAAAATTTGTCTGGTGCAATATCTATTTGTACTAAGAAACTATAAAGCTTTAATCATGCTTTTATGAAAAAATTTTAATTAAGGATCAATTTAGAATGATTGTACTTTTTTATAAAAGATTTTTTTTATAAAATTATTGTAAAGAAATTAACTTTTTGAATTATATTGCAGAAAGTAGCTTCCTAAAATTTATTAAAAATAATAATAAATTAATTGTTAAACATGAACTTTGATTGCAGTCTGAAAGCAAAGCAGCAAGAGCACTATTTCAAACGAAGTCTAATGCTTCATTTGAGATAGCTTTCATACTACTTCTTAACACAACATTCTAATACAAAAATTAAAATTTTTGTACTAAAAAATCATTTTAAGAAGCAGTAAGAAAGCCGTCCCAAACGAAGCCTTAAGAATGCCGTCCCAAATGAAGCCTAAGGCTTCATTTGAGACGGCTTTTTTATTGCTTTCTAAAACGGAGTTTTAGTACAAAAATAAAAAAATTTGTACTAAAACTCAGTTTTAGAAAGCAGTAAAAAAGCCGTCCCAAACGAAACCTAAATTAAGATAAAAAAGTAGTTTTAAAAATTTGGATAGAAAAGATATAAAATCATAAGCAATGCTGAACAAAGCCTAAAACATGAGAGGTAAGTGAAAGGAAAAAATTATTAACCTAGCCTAGATAAAATAAATTTATTATTATATTACTTAAAATTTAGTTGACCAATTCTTCTTTATTATCCAAGGACGCAAAGATTACAAGACTTGAATTTTTAAGTCCTGTTTTTTTTTTAAACATTTCAATGTAATAATAATCTCAAAATTATGATCAAATTTTTAATTATGATACATTTTAAAAAAATTTAATTTAATTTGAATAAGTGTTGTTGCGTCCATGAGTATTCGCGGCGGTAGAGAAATATAAGATTTAACGTCTTAGCGTTGTACGAAAATTCGACATGCAATCAGATGAGGAGAGAGGGTCTAGCATTTATGAGACACCAAGATTTTTACGTGGAAAACCCTTGAAAAAAGGGGGGAAAACCACGGGGCCTAGCCCAGTTTGAACGAATCCACTAGTATTTGCAGTCGATTACAAATGAGGCCCTTACTTGGGAGAAGGCCTTAGCTTGATGTACATCTTATAGAGTACATTACATGACGTAAATACATAAAATCACTATTGACATGTTTGTTTAGTCGGGAAGACCGTAGTCGGCGGGCGACAGAGGTCGGTGGGCGACGTAAGTTAGGAGGACCGTAGTCGGCTGGCGATGGAGGTCGGAAGTACTGTAGTCGGCGGGCGACTTAAGTCAGGAGGACCGTAGTCGACGGGCGACGGAAGTTGGAAAGATTGTAGTCGGTGGACGATATAAGTCAGGAGGACCGTAGTCGGCGGGCGACGGAGGTCGAAAGAATTGTATTCGGTGGGCGACGGAGGTCAGAAAGACTGTAGTCTGACGACGAAGATCAGTAAGACAGCGTCAGGTAGAAGTCCAACAATGAAAAGAAATCCATCTTCGCGTAGACGTCCAGCGAAATTCGATAACCAGTAGAAGTCCGGCGTCGGGTAGAATCTTGGCGAAGAGTGAAGGTCCGACGTCGGGTAGAAGTCCGACGTCTGTTGGTGGCAAAGGAGAACTTCGGCTTCACTTGGGCCGAGTTTCGGCGTCAGGAGGGAACTCTATTGCAAATTGGGAAGAATTTCAGCATCACGTGGAAGTTGGGCAGAGTTCCTGTATTCTCACGAATATCACGCAGAATCCTGGCGTGTTCGGGTGGCAGGACGAACTCCGGCGGTAGTCGAGGAGGAGAGAATTCTCCTTTTCCCCTTTCTCCTCTTCTTCTCTTTTTCTTCTCTCTCTTCACTTCCCTCCCTCTTGTGAAGAATGATGGCTCTATTTATACTTTTTCTGGAGTGGCATGGCTCCTAAATAGGAGTGAGAACATGGGTGAATAGGGAGTGGTTTGAATGGACGGTCGATATTGAACCCTTTGATCATGCACCGTTCGTTGGGTATTTGAATGCCTTAATGATGTCGTTCGATTTTTCTCGTCGAGTCGTTCGATTCGAGTATAAGCTCGTCAAAATCGGAGACCGTTTGGTAACTCAAATTGCGGTTTGAACCTTCCAACAGCGCTTTGAGCCCTTGATTCGGACTCATTTGGGCTCGGATTGGGTTGATCTTGGTGTCGTTGGGTTCGTATTTCCGATACGCTCAGTTTGACTATTAGCTCACTGAAATCGGAGTTTGGGAGCTTTCAAATTTAATTTTTGAAGTTTTCAACTAGCTTTTGTCTCAAGATTCGTGCCCGATCAAGATAATTTTTGCGTCATGTATCAAGTGTAATATAAATTATTGATGTGTTGCACTTAGTTTAAAATAGATTTAAAAATTAAATTTGGAAATACACATAATATAAATTTTAATTAGAGTTATGATCCTCATTATTACTGTAATGTAATTAAAAATTTAAAATAATTTTACTCAAATGTTGTCATTGAAAGAACAATTTACCTAATAATGACTAAGGATCAATGGCCTCAAATAATCCCGTGTCCGTTGTCCAACGCTAATTTCCTTTTACATTTAAACAAACGGAAAAAACGATTAGAAAAGCAGCAAGAAATGACGAAAAACGCGTGCAGTTCACTCCCTGTTCTTCTTCCTTCGCAACGCGTTATTTTGACTGCGAGGCCGAGTCATCTCCCACCTTTCGTAGCGTTCTCTTTGACCCGTCGGTAGGCGAGAATTTCCACAGAGTGTTGGAGAAAGATACTACCTTTGTTCTTGTTTCTTCCAACGACCTATTCGGTGGAAGAAGGGAACAAGATGGTGCAATCTTCCTGTTGCCGGCGGATTGCCCGATTGTTCGGTTGGCGCGGAGGGGGATCTGGCGGCGCCGGCGGCGTTAGCGGCGTCGGTGATGGCCTGCTTTGGCACATGGAACTCAAGCCCCACGCTTCCGGCGACTTCTCCATCGCCGTGGCCCAGGCTAATTCCTCCCTCGAAGACCAAGGCCAGGTTCTCACATCTCCGTTCGGTACTTACGTCGGCGTCTTCGACGGCCATGGCGGCCCAGAGGCATCGCGATTCGTCAATACCCGCCTCTTCGGTCACCTCCAAAGTGAGTTCACTGACGAAACCCTAGCGTTTTGTTTGCGAAGGAATTGGGCTTATTATTGTTTTTTTTTTATTATTGGAATGTATAGAATTTGCTTCGGAGCAAGGGGGTTTATCGGCTGAGGTTATGAGAAAGGCTTTCGCTGCGACGGAGGAGGAGTTTCTTCATCTGGTGAAGCATTCGTGGATTAAGCGGCCTCAGATCGCGTCAGTGGGATCCTGCTGCCTTGTGGGGGCGATTACGAATGACATGATATATGTGGCGAACCTGGGGGACTCGAGGGCGGTGCTCGGCCGGCGGGGGGCGAACGGTAGGTCGGTGGTGGCGGAGCGGCTCTCGAGCGATCACAACGTTGCGGTGGAGGAGGTGAGAAAGGAGCTCACCGAGATGCATCCGGATGACTCCCACATAGTTGTATATACCAGAGGGGTTTGGCGGATTAAAGGGATCATACAGGTAAAAAATGTTGTTTTCCTTCTAAGTTTATTCAGAATCTTGCGTAGATGAATGGAAGGGGCGGAAAAAGTTGACAAGTTTTGTCATTGCTAATTGGGTAATATTTTCGTCAATAGATTGCAAATTTATAGATTATTGAGCTGTTTCTCTGAAAATTTTAAAAAGTTTCTTTGGAAAAATAGCTGCTGAATGCATAGAGGCCAGTTTTATCTGCTAGGATGGTTGATAGTTTTGCTCCACAAATATAGCTAGAATTTCTATGTGTAAATTTAGGTTCTTTGCTTTGTTGTTTATTCCCATGGGCCTTAGAAGTGGCAATCTGTGTTCCTTTGGGATTTTGGGAGCATTTTATTGGAACTATAGTAAGATAATATAGAAGTTGATTTGAAATATTGCATTAAGTGTCATCTTCCTTTCTATCTATTTTCCTTTGAGGTAAAATTGAACATTTTTAAAATAAGGATCATGTTGGAATATATAATGTAGCCTTATTGAGGATTTGTGAAGATGTGCACTTGTTAAGAACTTTTTCAATGTTTTATTTGTATTACGAGTCCTCTTAAATTTTATGGCAACAAGGGGTTCATTGACCTTTGTAGTGAGTAGGCCTAAGGTATTTTCTTCACCGCTAAGAGACGCATCCACTTTTGGAATAAGGTAATGACTTCTGCTTTGACATGAAGAAATGTGTTTTCTTTTTGAGTAAGATAATAGTAACCGTATCCCTTAAATTTTCCTAAGATTCTACTAGAATAACAATGTTATATGTGTCGAAATCTTAAGGTTATTATTGGAAAATAATAATTTAGTTGAGATGTCTAGAGGCACCAAAATATCTCTCAGGAAAATTAAAATTTGAGATGTTTTGATAGCAAGTTAATCTCGAGAATACAAAGGAGTTTCTTGGGGAAGAATTCCATTCACTTCAAATCTTCTTTGGAGAATCTGAACTGCCAACTTATTATTGTTAAACAGCAATGATATTACAAATCCTACAAGAAAGATAAGAGTTATCAACGGAGGATGAACTTGGCAAATACCAGAACTTTAGTTATTATGATTAATGGTGTGATACTAGATGATAATAGATCTTCTCAAATAAATTCAATAAATGACAAAATAACTTCATCAATAAATTCTTCTATATATAGAGGTGTTGGAGTGTCTCGTTGGGGTTGTGGGTAGAGAGAGAGAGAAAAAGATGTTAGTACTTTTCTTCCTCATTATAAAAGAAATCCTTTTACTAGTCCATGTAGGCCTAGAAAGACCAAACTAGTTTAATCTTTATGTGTATTGCCATACTTTGGTCCTTACTTCAATTGCGTTGTTGCTTTAGTTTCCTCTCAAAGTATCCCATGACTTAGTTTCTTCTCATCCTTAACATACTTTGACCCTGAACTGTGAAATTGTTATTGTCCTAAATAAGGAGCTAATTCCTATGGTTCACAGAAGCATCATCATTATTCTAGTTATAATCATTTAGCCTTATTATGGGGTTAGTTAGCTTTTGCTTATATTCATACTTTTTTTCTGTTGTTGAGCTTCTAGTAATTAGCCAGAATAGCATATCATGAATTTGACCATACTTCTCAAAGTCTAGAAATTTTAGAAATCTCACTATAGCACTTAAGGTAAGCATTGGACAAGCCAAATTCAGATACAGATCTATTGCATAGGGTTTTAGATCTTTTGATTTCATAGAAAGATAAAACTGAGCAGCTTGGACATCTGGCTTCATTGGGAATTTGATCTCTAGTACAGGATTATTTGGGATGCCAAATATTCCTAGCTTTTTGTTTTGTTCCCCAAAGGATTTGGATTGAAGAATTTTTTAGATTGGCATGGAAATAAAACAGGTAGATTAGCTCATCAGGTTTTATCTGCCAAGCTTGCTGAAAATTCTGTCATACCATTTGTATTATCTTCTAGAGATAATTTTAGATGGAGCTTCAGTGGAGCATGGAAGCCTTTAAATGATTTTAGAAATTCCAAAATTGAAGGGCATGATCACAATCATCGAATGGGGTTCATTGCTAATCTTGTCATCTAAATGCTATGCAAGCCATGGAATGTTGAACACTTGAATTTTTGTATCATTAAAATGTTTGACGCTGTTGCTATTAAAAGTAAGAGCCATGGGAAATTTAGTATTTTTGCTTAATTACTGATCGATACTACCTCATCAATCTTTTAATATGTGCCATTACGATGGCACTTGTGTGGTTTGGGGCATGTTAATCCCTGAGAAATCTTCCATGCTGTCATTTTCTATAGAAGAAATGTATTTAGCTTTGTGTGATATCTGGACTAGCATATAGGAATGAAGTGTTAAAATCATAAAAAGTTGCTTTGTTAACCAAGAGATTTAGGCTTCGTTTGGAACGACTTTCTTACTGTTTCTTAAAACATCTTTTTAGTTCAAAAAATAAACACTAGAAAGCTGCTTTAAGAAGCAGTAAGAAATCTGCCCCAAACAAAACCTTAGAGAGTAGTGTGTTTTGGGCATCATACTGGATTGAATAGTTTATATTAATTATTTGTTGGATTTGAATAACCCGTGTGGTGCATAACTGGAGAGTGGTAAATTGTTTGCTGAGCTTGAGTGCTTTCATATCCAAGAAGGCTTGAGGTTTCTTGTTTCCCTCCTATAATTTATGAGTTTGGTCTGTTGAGTGTGCGAGAACCATAGTGCCTCCTATTGGTAGTTGAGTTTTTGTCTATATGTCAGTATTAATTCTTTCTCAGTTTTTCATCAGTATCCTTTAGCTATATCACCACATGTGAGTGTATGAACTTATTTAGGTAGTAATTTTGGTTTTCATGTTGCTCTGGATAAGAAAGAGAGTATTTTCTAGCAGTCATATACTTATTCTTTTTAATGCTATATAGTGTTACACAGATTCTTTGCTGAATTTAGTGAAAAGATAATTCTATGCTTTCATCATATTCCCTATTTAACTTTAACTGAAAGTAACATCCTTTATTGGCTTAATATTCATATTCTTGCCACTATAGAACTTTTTCTTCCCTACTAAAAGTTGTCTATAACATTGTCTCTGAAGTTGCTACTGTGCATGAAACAATTTTTCTTTAAAAAAAGTATTATATTCCTTTCTAATATTCTAAGCATAAGTTTATATGAAATGTAGAATGATATGCTTTATAGTTTTCTATTTTTCATTTAATATCTTATTTTGAGAAGGTCTATTCATATTTGGGGAAGCCTCCCACTGAGCTTGTCTGTCATTTTTATGTAGTTCTCATTGACAGTTTATATTTTCATCTTATCTATTTGGCCTTTTTACATCAACACCACAAAGGAATGCAATAACTTGTTCTATATAAGCTCAGGCATAGACCATGACCATTGACATCGTTGATCAATGTGTGAAACTTGCTTGCATGTTTAGCCAACCAAGGTCAATTTGAATGCCGTGGGCATTGTGTGTAATTGTGTCCTTTGCCTATCTCTATGATGCTACCCTCCATTTTGCTCAATTAATCAAACTCACTTGCTGCTACATTCACAAGGACCTCTTTTTTACTCCACCCCACAATCAAATAAATAGAAAATGCTTATCCTTTTTGATGAAACTTAAATTCTATAGCCAAGTAGGAGAACACTAAGAATGCAACAAGATACTTCTTTTCAATAATCATAAACCAATACCAATAGAATGAAACAATAGTAAATAGATATAAGTAAATGATTAGGAAATTTTGCAAAGAAATAAACTAGAACTTAAAATTAACTACCCTCAAAATAACCTAGAAATATCACCTCTCATGCAAATCACGAAAATAGAGAATAGTGCTCAAAGGAAAAAATCAAACCAATGGTTTGCCACAGAAATTATGATCCAACTCAAGTTGGGTCTCCTCCGGCCAATACCAACAAACGGAGCATAACAACACTTTACACTCACAATGTTTGGAAAAGAAAGATACAAAAGGAAGGGAAACCGTGGAGAGAAGAAATAGATAGAAGATCGAGAAGAAGAAATAGGTGTAGGAAGAAGATAGCTCTCAAGCTAGGAAGAAAAACCCTTAGGTTTGGTTTTATTTTCACCAACAACAACCATCTCTTCCAGAAGAAGGCCCAATAGCCCACATAAATGTGACATCCAACTAGCCAATAGAAGCCAATCAATACAACTACTTTTTGAGAAGATGAAACACTATTCTAGAAATCAGCAATGAGGAAAATGAACGGCTAGCAGCAGGAAAACCAAAGCCTGTTTGGAAAATCAATAGCCAACCAATTTGGGAATCCGAATTCAGCATGGGGAACCAACAACAGGGATTTCAAAATCTGCTTGAAAAACCAACAACCAACCAACATGGGAATCTAAATTCAACATGGGGAACCAACAGCAAGGAATCCAAAATCTGTTTGGAAAACCAACAGCCAACCAACATGTGAAGAGATGGGTTATTCACAATAAAGAAAAAAAAGTTCAAAGATTAAATACCCATTTAGCCACCAAGAGCAAGGAAATAAATTCAACACAAGTAGAAAGCCAATTGAGAGAAATTAGCTAAGAGCACCAAACCCAAGCATGATCATGAGTTGATTTCCATCATAGGGCATATAAAAAACATAATCCAAAATTACATAGCATCCAAAACATAAGAAAATAAAATATAAAATGATAATCCTTGATTGCATCACTTTTGAAAACTATGATATATTTCTCTAGTCGCGCTTGACATAGACCTTATGGGGTACTTTTACTGTATTTGAATACTAATAAAGGTAAATGGAGAAGAACCTCATGAGTATTAAGCGATAAGAAGATATCGTGAAAAATGAGAAGTTTATTTTGCAAAATCATTAGTAGGCTGGTGATTGAATCCAAGTTTTGAGAAGTAAAAATGTCATTAATATTTAAGTTGAGCATGATAATAATATAAATGTTAAAATTGATATGTGGTAAAATTAGGGAGAATACATTAAAAAGTTATTATAGTAGAGGAACCATTAGTATGATATTGATTTAAGATAATTTAGTTAAAAATAAACTTAATGGCTTTGCCACATTAAAGTAAAGGTAGAAGATGCATAGATCTTATATAACATAAACAAAAGTTTAAAATTATTTGCAAAGTATATGTCCAACACCTCGGGAAATATTCAACGTGCAATAACAACAACAACATCAAGTCTTTGTCCCACTACGTGAATGAAGAAAAAAATGTGCCATTGCACATTAGAGTACTTGATTTGTCCTGAAAGTATATGTTGGTTAGAAACACTAAGTGGTGGGCTCTCATCCATTGTCTAAGTTTTTGAGTTGAAAATTAGTTTGATTTTTAGTGTATCAGGCTTAATTGACTTATAGAGCATTATATACTTACCATTTTTTTGTGTCTAGTAAAAGAATTGTGTTCATTCATTTAAATGATTGATTTATACTCGTATTGTTTGTTAAGCTTTACCTCATTAGAAGGTTACTTCTCGGACTTCATCTTGTGATGTAATTGAAAAGGATATGTCCATTTGGCTAAATCTACATAAGAAGTTGGCTATTTGAAACCTTATCCTACTCCGTAATTTTGTTTTTTGCATCCATTTGCTTGTCTGCTTGTCATTTTTTGTTTGCCAAAAGGTCATAAAATGGTTGCTATTGTTCAGAGAAAAAATTATTTGTGTTGATTCAGTTGTATTTTTGTGAATATCGGTGTACTTGTTTTATACAATTTAGTATTATACTAACAATGCGAAGAATTTATCACATAACTTCCACATATAGGTATCGAGATCCATCGGTGATGTGTACTTGAAGAGACCTGATTTCTGTAGAGACCCATTGTTCCAACAGATTGTTTGTCCCATTCCCTTGAAAAGGCCTGTCATGACCGCAGAACCCACTATTCAGGTTCGCAGGCTTAAACCAAACGACTTGTTCTTAATATTTGCATCAGATGGTCTCTGGGAACAACTAAATGATGAAGATGCGGTTGAAATAGTCTTCAAAAATCCCAGAGCAGTAAGTTTTCCCATTTCTTCATCTAACTTTTGAATTTCTGATGCATATCATCTCACAATTTGTTAGTATTGCAGGGCATAGCCAAGAGATTAGTGAAAGCTGCCCTCAATGTGGCTGCAAAGAAAAGGGAGATGAGATATGATGATATCAAAAAGATCGACAGGGGCATAAGAAGGCATTTCCATGATGACATTACTGTCATAGTTATATACCTTGACCACTGCCATGCTGGTTCATCAAAACTTCATAGCAGCTTGGTTGACTGCACCAATGCACCTATTGATATCTTCTCTATGAGTGCTGATGAATCATAATTATCCTTGTGCGATAGATACAGGCTCTCATCCCTGTGAATACAGATTAGAAGAATGGAGCAAATACAGCATAGATTAGTTTCAGAGATGAGTTCCTCTTACTGGTTGATGTACAGATGTAACTAGCTAACTGGCACTGGTCTTGAGATGATCATTGGAGTTGCTGTACAAAGCTGGAGCATCTGAAAGACGTTTGATATGTTACATTTTACAGAGTATAGAGCAATATAGTGGTTGATTCTTCTTAGAGAATGACGGTGATTATTCTGTGCGGACGTCAAATG